CAGCTCAGGCTTTCCAAGCTGAAGGGAAAGTGTCATCCGATCCGGTTGGTAAGAAATCTCAATCTTCTTGACCTTTTTTCTTGGTTTTTACTATGATTCTAATTAAGATCCTTCATTCTGCACTTCGTTTGTTTTTCTAATGAAATTTGCATTCTTCTTGCATTGTTTTGTAGCTATCGACGCACCTGGTGGGTTTCTGTTTGAGTGGTGGTCTGTCTTTTGGGATATATTTATTGCTAGGACTAATGAGAAGCATTCTGAGGTTGCTGCATCTTACATTGAGGTATGTTTCTTAGTTTACTTACAGCACTAGTGTGATTCTGTATCTGTGCAAAGCTGTAAATTTTGCATAGTTAGTGATTTGTTGCTAGTTAGAAGCTTGATTGCTTACATTTGAACTGTGTTTGAAGAGAAGACTTAGCCTTTGGATGATTGTCTAGGATGGCGGATTTACTGTTCTGTTTTGGTTAAGTTTATAAGATTTACAAACTGTTTATGTTTTTCTTACAGACACAGATGATTAAAGCGCGAGAACAGCAATTGCAGCAATCTCAACACCCACAGGTCTCTCAGCAGCAGCAGCAACAACAACAGCAGCAAATACAAATGCAACAACTCTTGCTGCAACGTGCACAACAACAGCAACAGCAGCAGCAGCAACAACAGCATCATCATCAACAGCAGCAACAGCAACAACAACAACAGCAGCAACAACAACATCAAAACCAACCACCTTCACAGCAGCAGCAGCAGCAACAGCAACAACCGGCATCTCAACACCAACAGCAGCCAACACCACAGCAGCAGGGTCAGAGGAGAGATGGGTCCCATCTTGCAAATGGGTCAGCAAATGGACTTGTTGGTAACAACAGCGACCCGGTTATGAGGCAAAACCCTGGGTCTGGGACTGCCTTAGGAAATAAGACATACGAGGAAAGGGTCAAAATGCCTAATCAGAGGGACTCCTTAGATGAGGCTGCAATGAAGGTTAGTTTAGGCAACGGCATGTGTTTTAAATTCCATCTCTTATTTTTGTCACACCTTAGTTTCGTCAAGTGTTATAATTCGGATTTTCGTTGGCTACAGCGATTTGGGGACAATGTTGGGCAGCTGTTGGATCCAAATCATGCATCGATGTTGAAATCTGCTGCAGCTTCCGGACAGCCTGCAGGGTGCTGTTCTCTTACTTCTACATTCGTTGTTTCTACGTACATTATAGTAAATGAAGATATTGCAATCGAAATATCATTCAATATATCTCTCTTTTTCTAATGCTACTTGCTGCTGAATCTCAGGCAAGTGTTACATGGTACAAGTGGTGGTGGTATGTCTCCACAGGTTCAAGCTCGAAATCAGCAACTTCCTGGGTCTGCAGTGGTATGTAATATTGAACCTACGTTGTTTCTAGTCCCTTGTAGAGCTTTTCTGTTGATTAATACCTTGCTGGTCTTATTTTGGGCTTAGGATATAAAAAGTGAGATCAATCCCGTGCTCACTCCCAGGACCGCAGTTCCAGAAGGGTCGTTGATTGGCATTCCTGGTACGTTTGCTAATTTTGTTCATGCTGAGGGTATAATTTCAGTAGGTTAAACGTGTCAAATGTAGCAAATTACTTCAGCTCTTGATTATGATTAGCGCTTGTTTCCTGTTTCAGGTTCAAATCAAGGAAACAACCTTACTCTTAAAGGGTGGCCACTCACTGTAAGCTTATGTCTATGCATTTTCTCTGGCTCCTCTCACACTTTTGTCTTAAAGGAATCCCTTCTTGACTGCCTTTTTTTCTTTCCTGATTTAGGGATTTGATCAGCTTCGGACCGGTCTTCTTCAGCCGCAAAAACCATTTATGCAGTCTCCTCAGTCATTTCACCAACTCAACATGTTGACTCCGCAACATCAGCAACAGCTGATGATGGCTCAGCAGAATCTAAATTCACAATCTGTCAATGAAGAGAACAGAAGACTGAAAATGCTATTGAACAACCGGAGCATGAACCTCGGAAAGGACGGCCTTGGCAGTTCTGTTGGGGATGTGTTACCTAATGTTGGATCGTCTCTACAACCTGGTGGCCCTCTTCGTGGAGACACCGACATGCTATTAAAGGTTGGCCTTTTTGTCTTCTCTTTACAAATCTTAAGTGGATGACTTAAATGTTTAACAAAAAAACTCTTTACAGTAATCTCTGCTCATTTTTAAACGCTGGACCTTTTTTTGTTAATAATTGCTTATGCTTTGTAGTTAAAGATGGCTCTGTTACAGCAGCAGCAGCATCAACAGCAGGGTGGTGGGAATCTAACACAGCCACAGCCACTTAATCCACTCGCCCTTCCAAATCAGCAATCACAGAGTTCAAATCACAACATTCATCAACAAGATAAATTGGGAGGGGGTGGTAGTATGACGATGGATGGTAGCATGTCAAATTCTTTTAGAGGAAATGAACAGGTCTGCTCTTATATTTTCCGGTTTCTTTTCCTAGTTCATGTTACTTAGTTTATGGTGAGTCTGAGGTTGATTCTTAAAATGTTATCGCATTCAATTGAAGGTACTGAAGAATCAGAGTGGGAGGAAAAGAAAGCAGCCAGTTTCGTCTTCTGGGCCAGCTAATAGTACAGGAACGGCTAACACTGCGGGACCATCGCCAAGCTCAGCACCTTCTACACCTTCAACTCATACTCCTGGAGATGTGATTTCTATGCCTAATCTGCCTCATAGTGGTGCTTCCTCCAAAGCAATGGTTCTGTATGGCTCTGACGCAACTGGGACTACTCTTACATCTCCATCAAATCAGTTGGTGTGTTTCTTTAAACCGATAATGGGAGTGCACAGAAGTTTCCGTGATCAAAACTGAATTAGTAGCATCAATTATTGGCTATTTTGCAGGCTGATATGGATCGATTTGTGGAAGATGGCTCCCTTGACGACAACGTTGAGTCTTTTTTATCCCACGAGGATGGTGATCAACGGGACATCGCTGGGCGGTGTATGGATGTTAGTAAAGGTGTGTGTTTTAGCTCTTCTCAACATTATTCAACAATAACATGGTGAAACAATATTTCTAATTTGCTACACTACAATGATGCCAGGTTTCACGTTTACCGAAGTGAATTCAGTACGTGCGAGCACAAGTAAAGTCACCTGTTGCCACTTCTCATCGGATGGAAAAATGCTTGCTAGTGCTGGACATGACAAAAAGGTAAGCCAGAAATCATCATTAGACATTAGGTCTTTTGTAGCGTTCTAAAACTTAAAGAGCCTCTTGGCTTTGCAGGCTGTACTATGGTACACAGACACTATGAAGCCGAAGACCACCCTTGAGGAACACACGGCTATGATAACAGATGTCCGTTTTAGTCCGAGCCTGCCTCGCCTTGCAACTTCTTCATTCGACAAAACTGTCAGGGTTTGGGATGCTGATAATGTAAATCGAAAGCTGATCAATTTCACTATATATGTTTTATATTGATGCTGTGATCTCTTAAGAGTTTTGTAAATCTACTTTGCAGAAAGGTTATTCCCTTCGTACGTTCATGGGACATTCTTCAATGGTTACGTCACTTGACTTCCACCCCAACAAGGATGATCTCATATGCTCCTGTGACACTGATGGCGAAATAAGGTACTGGAGCATCAACAATGGAAGTTGCACAAGAGTGTACAAGGTAGAGAAAGATCTTTTCATTTCTTCAAAGCCTATAGTTCAACTTTGTTCAGTTGCTTTAATTAGCAAATCCATTCATACATAATCTCACTCTTGTTTCTTTTCACACACAGGGTGGTAGCACCCAGATGAGGTTCCAACCACGTGTTGGCAAGTATCTCGCTGCTTCATCAGCAAATGTTGTATCTGTATTAGATGTTGAAACACAAGCTTGTCGACACTCTTTGCAGGTTAGTGTTTGATTTATATAATACATCTACTAACAATTAAGATAAGAGAGGAACTATAAGAGAAACACTGCTTACTAATTCCTCTGTACAGGGCCATGCGAATCCGATAAACTCGGTTTGCTGGGATCCTTCTGGTGACTTCTTGGCAACGGTTAGTGAAGATATGGTAAAAGTGTGGACGCTCGGGACAGGTAGTGAAGGAGAATGTGTTCATGAGCTAAGCTGCAATGGCAACAAATTCCAGTCTTGTGTTTTCCATCCGACTTACCCTTCTCTACTCGTAATTGGTTGTTACCAGGTAAAGTTGATATCATTTTGATCCAAAAACCCGAACTTTACAATCTGGTCCTTGTGTTCCTAAACTTTGAGGAACTTGTGTGTGTGTGTGCAGTCTTTAGAACTATGGAACATGTCAGAGAACAAGACGATGACACTGCCGGCTCACGAAGGGCTAATAGCGTCGTTGGCGGTATCAACTGCAACTGGATTGGTTGCATCAGCTAGTCACGACAAGCTAGTGAAGCTGTGGAAGTGAAAATCAAACCAGAGAAAGAAGACAAGTTTGTGTTCATTAGGTATTACTATTATTCTCAGGAAAGGTTGGGGTTTAACTTTGTGTTTCTCTTTCTAGTTCTTCTTCTATCGGCCAATCATCTTCGATCTCAAAGAAGATAATTTTTCAGATGTTGTAACAATGTGTTGTTGTATTATGATCTGACGTAATTGGGATCTTGAAGAATTGTGAAAACTCTTGTTGTAATTTTAGCCTTTTTAATTAATTGACACTCTCTTCACTTTGCTTTGGTTTCTGTTTAAGCTTCTCGAGTCTGTTACTGTTAGTTAATTCATTAAAATCGTATGCAAACGCGAAAGTTGAAAACGCTATTTATGAATTTTAAAACACAAACGCCAAAAGTGCTCACGCCGGTGAACGTCATCTTGACTCAATCTCCGTCGTCTCGGAGATCGTTCTTATGAGTCTCTTAGCTCTTAAAGCCAGAATCTCCGGTGGGGGCTGACGTTAAACAGCTGCCTGAAGATTGACGGATCTTAAAGAGACGATTTTTTTTTCTCCTTCTCTGACGAATTCATTGGAAGATCACGGTGAGTGATGGGGAAAGAAGATATCAGTGAAGAGGTTAGCACGAGCTTCAACGAACGTTTCCATTTGCTCGAATTCAGACGGGAATTGTCTATTTGAATAAACTTTTTGTTCTGGAAATGTTCGATGCTACATTGATCTGTTAGATTAAGCAGATTCTGATATATCTCTGGAATTAACAGGTTTGTTCTTCGGGGGAAATGGTGACAAATCTGAAGGCGTCCATAAGAGAATTGAGTGCGAGAGTGAAGGAACAGGTGCTTTGTTCTTTGCTTCCTACTCTGTCTTGCACCTGGTGCTCTTGACTAAACACTGAAAGGTTTTCACTTTGTTGCGATTCTGTAACTTAGAATCAGAGGAAATGTGATGTTGAGGATAAGCTGAAGCAGTTGCGAGAAAGAATAAGCGCTCAAGGTGTTGACGTTTCAGTACAGGAGTTGATACCGCTTTTGAGATCACTCAAGGTAAGTGAGATTGTTCTTAGGTTTCCGGAAAGTTCATGTTTTTATCACTACCCTCAATAGTTTTAGGTGTATTTCCAGGGATTAGAGAAACAGGAATCTGAAATCCGGTCTAGTTCCAATGCTAAGCGTGCTGCTTTAGAAGATGAAGTTAATGATTTGGAGGAAAGAGTCGCAAAGGGGTCTGATGGTGAGATTTCAGAGGAAGGTTTAGATGTTTTGTTGGTTGAATCTTTGGATCATTTGACTTCAGCAAAGAAGGTACTCTTTCTATGCACCTTTTAGTTATTGGCTTGGACCATCATGGAGTTGAGATTAAGGTTTTTCTAAGAAGGTTGTGGTTGTTTTCCTCTCGTTTCACTGTAGGAGCTTGCGGCAACGCTAAGAGAAATAGTGTCTCTGAAGCGGCAGATTGATGATGTGCCATGCCAATCTGAACTTCTCCAGTATGTTCTTCTTCCTTTACGTCAGTATATAGGAATCCAGTTTTTACTATGGCTAATTTTCCCTTTGCTATATTTCATTCCGTGCAGATATGAAAGAAGATTCTCAGAGCTGAATGTCTGTATTCAGGTTCGAATAGTCAAATTAGTATCTGTTTTGTTGCTTTGTAGTTGAAAATGAACTAACTAGCTTATTGATTGATGAACATTTATGTTGATTTCTGACTATAAACAGGAGAAACTTCAACAAACTAGGAAGCTCTATGCAACATACAATGCTCTTTTAGAAATAAAAGACTTGATGCTAAAGGAAACATCATTACTGAACTCAATAGGTTCACAGGTTAGTGACATGCGTTATTGTTTTTGTTGATTTTCTCTGTCTAGATATCATGTACTTATCTTCAAACGATTTGGCTTGAGAGTAGTTTCAAGACGTGATTGGTACTCCTGCTGGCCGTGTGAAGCTAATTGATTCAATGGAAGGGGTCATGAAAGGAATCCAACAGGTAATCTGAGTTATAGCCATTTAAGTATTTGAGGCACAAAGCATGAGTCTAGACCCAACTTACATAAGCATTAAGCCGTATGATTTGTCGTAACATAATCATTAAAAGTGCAGAAGCTAGGAAAGGTACAACTTGGGCTTCAAGAAGAGCAGAGGCACTGTGATAGTTCAAAGGAAAAGTATACTGCTGCAGCTGCGGAGCAGAGAAAATGCTATACTGTACTAAGAGCCTTCCAGGTTAGCACAAAAGAGAAAGAAAGTGATACTGAAAAGCGTTTCGAGTGTCAGTGTTCTTAATTACTGCTAAATTTCTCAATCGCAGGAGGAATGTACTAAGAATGACAGACTGAGGAGTCAAATATCTGCTGTAAACACCTCGGACTCGAAAGAAGGGACTGAATAAGGTGACTCTCCTTACGAGTTATAGATAAAAGAGAGTAGAGCCAGAGTAGATTTAGACATGATTCTCTTGTGATATGCTGTATCCATATGCTTAGTCTTACACATGGGAAGATATGAAAATCTATAGGCCTAGAAAGTAGAAACAGCATGGGAAACTAATAAACTCTAATCACTGGGGAAGAAGACTTTGAATACAAACCTAGAAAGGCACAGAGCATTGTAAAAGGCTATTGAGTCAACAAATAACTTAGAAGAAAAGCCACATTCTTTATCATCTCTCATAACCAGACTTAATCACGTGGCTTCTTTTCAGGGTCTGATATGTGAACCGGATCTCTGGTATCCCGTCCCCTTGAGATGATGCTACCCTGATGTTCTCTACCTGCAAGTCATATGTCCACATGAGCAAAAAGATTCTCAAATCTGATAAAACCCAGTGAAATTTTGACAACTCTTTATTTTCCTATCCTCATTTTGTTAAGGTCAATGCACAAAAAGACTTGTTTACTCTACTCTTGAAGTGTATTTATAAGAAGCTAACCAAAATTTCTGCTGTAATCTGATTTTTTTCCTATAAAAAGAAGTCACCTGGTCGTGTAAAGTTGGCTTGATGACCTGGCCTTGGACGAAACTCTGGGGCCAAAAACAGTGTTTCTCTAGAGCTGCCTCCTTCATACATGTGGCCTAGTTTGTATGGACCGTCGCTTGTGTTGTTCATCATCGTCTTCGGTTTCTGCGACAAACCTGTAGACCATGAGCCTCCACTTGATCCTGCCAAGGCCATTATCACATCCGCCTGCCAAAAAAGTAACGTTCATATGATCAACTTCTCAATCTCTCAACTAACTTCTGCAAACTAAAATTTGGTAAAATATGAGTGTTAAGTAAGAGAGAGAACCACCTTGTTTGGGTGAACATCATCAAAGACATGAGCTTGACCGCCATAGAAGATTGTCATTTGCTTAGTATTAGACGTCAAGTCTTTCCGATTTCCAGTACTGCAAAAATACAAACAAAAATGTGATGAAATGGCTTTGAAGACAGAGCATCAAAAGACCAGAGACATAACACTAGAAGCTAACTCACCTTGAAGGCGCAAGACATTCGAGCTTGTTCGGGTTTGGCATTGTAAAAGAAGTCGAGATACCAGAACCTTTCATCCCGGTTCTCGAACCTTCATCTGCAGCTGTCTGAGCGATAACTGATTGGCCCATGTTTTCATCCTTGAACCTGCTTGTAGACAGCTGATGAAGCAAATGACTGATCTGTCCTCCTCCTCGTGGAGGTTGGTTTGCCAAAGGATTCACATTCATGGAGAGGCTTCCAGGTCCGTTTCTAAGCAACTAAGTTATGACAATGACAAGACTACAAAATCTGAGTTCTGTGAAGCTCTTAAACATGGTAAAATTGTGCAAGTTCTGTTTTTCTTGATCTCTTACCTTGGACCAATGCAGAGTCTCTGGTTGATCTTGAGTCGTGAAGTGTGAATCCGAGCTACTTCTCTTGTTTCCGGAAAATCGATTGGTCATGATTGAGCCAGAAACCTCGCTTCTTGATCCAAGCAACTGTAACGCATCAAGATGATTCCCTCCGCCGCCTTTTCTTTCAACTAATCAAAATGATAAAATCAACATCACATTGCAAGTAGGAACTCAAAGAAGAAGAAAGAGAGAGGTAGGTAATAAAAGAAGACCAATTCAATAGTAAAAGCAACACAATCTCAAATGGCTATGACCCACCAAACTCATCACTCAAATTCACTCCCAATGTCCCAACTAATCCACCAGAGACATTATGGTTGGACAGTCAGAGAGAGAGTGAGATTGTGTGTGTGTGTGTGTATCCTTCACTACTAAAAGCTCAATCAACCACATGCTCACACAAAATCCATGTTCTTGTTTATAAAAAGATTAAACTAAAAGTAAAGCAAGAAAAGAAACAAAAAAATGGACACTCACAATCCAAAGATGTTCCATTTTCTACTTGGGGGATCTAATCAGTAACATATTAACTAAAAGTTTCCAGTTTTAGAAACTAGCTCACATGTATGATCTTTTCAAATTTCAAATCATAGTGAGACAAAACTCGATTGTTAAAATCAGACCAGGGACCAAAAAAACTTTCAGATCATAGTGAGACAAAGCTCGATTGTTAAAATCAGACCAGGGACTAAAAAAAGAATCGAACTTCAAAACCGAATCTATGTAAAATTAAAGCAGATAAAGAGATATAGAGAGAGAGAGAAGAACCGAGATCGGAGGTTGAGGAGAGACCTCCACGTCCACCGGCGGAGGAAGCGGAAGCCGTCGAGAGAGTCATCGCCGGTCTAGCCGCCTTATCAGGTGGTGTTCTATGGTCTGCCATGGAAGTGGATGCTAAAATTGCAGTCTTGGAGCCTAGAAAGTCATGGAACAAGAGCTTATCTTGCTCTTTCTGCCGGAGGCGAGAATCAACATCAGTGTTGCGCTCGCCATTGTTGTGGTTCACCATCGTCAACCAGTGTGTCAGTGTAGCCACTTGGCCACCATTTCCTCCATTACAGTTTTCTCTCTGTGTATTATTTCATGGACACACTCAACGAGAGAGAGACAGGGAGAGAGGGAGGAGAGTGTTTTTTCTGGGTAAGTGTAAAATAAAAGGCGAAAAAGAGTTGTCTTTTTGTTCTTCAAGCTCCTTTATTGGGTTTCGCTGACATGATTTAATTCCCATAATATAATTAATGAAAATCTCAACTTTTCAAACAAAATTATTAAAAAAGTAAGTAAGATTGTAAAATCATGGCATTTTAGACTTCTTTTATTAAGGAATCACAAAAAGTTAAAACTGTTAAAGATTCACACATAATTGACTTGAAGAAAGCAAGATGTGTGTATCTAATCCTACGTAGCACGGAAGCTTCGTCCGATGACCGCTTCCCGCTTCGGAATCGGAATCGGAATCGGAAGCTCGGAAGCTTTCCATGACGCTTCCTAAAAAACCTCTTTAAAAACGTTTTGGAAGCTTGCAATTCCGTTTCGGAAGCTTACGCTTCCGTATAAAAATATAATATCTTAAATAATTATGAATACTTTTATATGTTTATGATTTTATAAGTTTTTATAAAAATGAAAAATTAATTATACCATGTATTTAATTTTGCATTCACAAATTAAAGACTAATTTTAATCTATTATCTATAAAAAAATTATTTAGAAAAATTATTAAAAATAAAATGAGAATAATTCTTTTGATTAGAAAAATGCGATTTCAATTTAGTGATCTTTCTTTAATAACATAGATATAAGATTATTTTACATGGAATTAGAGAATAACGAAATAAGAAACTAAAATTGGTTTTTGATTTGAATTATTTTAATTATTATTAATTGAATTATATAAAATTGATATATTTAATTTATGCTATATACACATATATATGTATATATATAGACGCTTCCAACACGTACCCGCTTCCTAATTTTTTTAAAAATATCGCTTCTGCGCTTCCAAACGCTTCCGCTTCCGCGTACCCGCTTCTGATTCCATGCAGCATAGATCTAATCTAACTAACACATTACTAACCTAAGTTACCTAACTGCACCCAGATAGAAATTGGTTCGTAGGTCAGTTGGTAAAGGTCAAGTTTTCATTTCTAAAAGGTTTGTTGTCGTAAGTACACTGTTAGACTGACTATTTAACTCAACCAACCATGACATAGATCCTAGTGGTTTACGATAGTATTGTCATTGTGTTACTACTTTAATGTTATTGATTAAAAAAATGTCATTAAGTATTTTACTAAAACGTGGTGATTAGTAACTTAGTTTAGATGTGTTTGGTTTTGTAAGTGACGTTATTAGCAAATTTGATATGTTTTGTTTTGAGGTTGGAGCTGTTGAATTTTTGGGTCAAGCGTTTGATTTCATACTCTAATCTGAGTAGGAGAGAGAGAACTCAAGAAGAGACATATATCTGATGAAATCGATTTTACAACCACTCATCATGACGAATTTCCCATTTCATTATGCTCCTCTGATCCTTTCTACCTTTTACAAAATTGGTCTAGCCCAAAAGCGATACATAAAATATGGTTAAGAAAATTTATATGATTAATAAAGTCCTCATAAAATCATATCGATGGTAAGTACAATGAGAAAGAGGTTATATACTTACATTTAGGATTGAATAAGTTTTTGTATGATTTATTTTATTTAAAAAGTGGTTTAGTGGGTACTATACTACTAGTATTAAATGTTTTATCGGTGAGTTTTAAAAATAATCATCAGTTCAATATATATAAGACGTTTATTGATATATTTGAAAACATCGAACCAGTAGTTGTCTCTTTTTTAAATCAAGTAGTCTTTGGAGTTTGATTGGGTTGATAAAATTGTAATTATCTTTTGTATGGGAAGTGGGAACACGTGTTTGCTTTCTTGCTCCTACATATAGTTATGATTAAGTCTAAAAATTCCGCTAAATGATACTAGTGAATATTGGTTGACTAAGTAACTGTATGAGAGTGTAATGGTGGCAAACAAGTACTAACATATAAATATAATGATTAGTATTTTGCAAAAATTGTTCATCTCTTTGTTCTTGACTGTTCTGCTTTCTTGTTTCCCTCTTAATTTCTTGACATGTCACACAAACAAGGAAAAGAGAACAACCCATCTGGTCATACTCTTTTGTTATGGTAAACTGTATATTGATTGGTTCTAAGACATAACTAAACTAGTTGTGTCGTGTAATAACAATATTTGATGTCTAATTTTGGGCCACATTAAAAAAAGTCCACTAGATTCTTAAGACGGCCCAGATAGAATTGCTAGGGTTTTCGTGTCTTGAAATCGGATTTGGATTTGCAATCAGATAGAAATTTCTTGGCAAGAAGATGTTGTCGGATCTTCCGAGGGATTTGGCAGAGGAAGTCCTGAGTAGGCTTCCGATGACATGTAACAGAGCGGTGCGAAGTGTTTGCAAGAGATGGAACACTTTATCCAAAGGTCGGGGCTTTACAAAGAAGCACCTTGCTCGAGTGAAAGCAGCAGCGGCAAGGGAGTCAACAACAATGGTGGTCGTAGTGATAAGTCATCGGCTTTATTTGATGAGCGTAAACCTCCACAAGGGCGTCGACACGTCTTTTAGCCGTCAAGGTAAACTTATTAGCAGCCTAGAAGACGATTATGGTGATGGAGTCGATATATTTCAAGTGTACCACTGCGACGGTTTATTGTTTTGCCTCACAAAAGGCCAAACTAGGTTCGTCGTTTGGAATCCGTATTCTGGCCAAACCCGTTGGTTCAAACCATTAGCTTTTACCTCTAGAATGCGCAGCTGTAACTATGCTATAGGATACGAGGAGAGTAGTAGCAGATCATCACGCCGACGCAGCTACAAAGTTTTGAGGTTCGGTGAATCTTTCCAAGGACATGTTCGGTACGGACTCTACTACGTGAACTCTTACAAGGATGATGTCACAACCCATGTCACTATCCTGACGGACTGGTTTGTAGAGTGTGATGCACGCGGCGTGTCTTTAAATGGGAATACCTATTGGTTTGCTCAGGGGAAGATGCCGCCAGGCGTTGATGCATTATCAGCGTCCCCTGATTTCTTGATCTGTTTCGATTTTACCACAGAGAGATTCGGACCGCACTTAACTGTACCGTTTCGCTATAACACCGAGGATACCGTGACGCTATCGAGTGTTGGAGATGAGCAACTTGCTGTGTTACATCAGGACCAGTACACATTACGTATGCAGATATGGATTACGACTAAGATTGAGCCTCAAGTGGTGTGGTGGAGCAAGTTGTGCTTCTTAGCGGTGGATATGGAACCACTCGTTGGTGATCCCTTTGACTCAGCGTGTTTCTTTGTTGACGAGGAGAAGAAACTCGCCGTGGTTCTTGAAAATGACATGGTAGCTTATATCGTTGGAGAGGATGGATATCTCAAGAAAGAGGACTTGGGAGGATCTTCAAACATATGCAACGACGCACTTGTGTACTCTCTTGTTCCAAGTTTAGCGCAAATCAAACGACTAGGCACCAAAAGGAAGAAAAGTACCAGGTTTCAACTGAGTTTTTAAACCAACTGTTAAATCATGTAATGATAACAAGTTTACAAGTTGGACGAAATATTCCAAAATTCGAGTTTTTAAAAGATATATAACAAAGTCAAAAGAAAATGTTTAATGGGTGAATAACACAGAAAGAAAGAAGCCTGCCAAAATCGATAAATGAAGTCCACATATTTCCCAGTATTTATTATCTCTCTAGTTTCGGTGATCTGTACCAAAATTTGGTCGCCGGAGATCGGAAGCTAAAACGGGAAGAAATGGCTTCGCTCGGTTTCAACATCGGCTTCTCCGTCCCCGGTGTACAAATTCAGCAGCATCGAAAAGTTTACGGAAGTGGAAGGGCTCGCGTTTTCTCCTGTAGCTCTTCTCTTTCTGCCGCGACGCCTCCTGAGATAGAGCTCGAGTTCTTCGGTGTAAACATCGGTGCGATTTTCGATTTCAGTTATTGATACAATTCGTTTCAAAACTCAGAAAGGATTTTTCGTTTTTCGGTTTTGGTGGTTGTGCATTGCAGCCGAAGCCTGGGAGCGACGGGTCGTATCCGGCGGATAAAGCCAAGGCTATGAGCGGCGAGAAGCTTCTGAGAAACATTATGAAGGAGAACAAAATCGAACTGTACGCTACTTATGTGAGTTTAATTGGCTATTTAGTCCTGCATTTTCGTGCTCTGTGTATTAGTAGAGAATTTGTTAAAAGGCTGTGTTGATACTGAGGTAAGTTTTGGGATTTGCTCAATTTGTGATGATGATTAGGGTAAAGTGATGAACTGTGGAGGTGGAGGAAGCTGTGGAACTTGCATCGTGGAGGCAAGTGGACTTCACATCCCACATGTCATATCTCTTGATTATGAATTTGATTTCATAGTATGTTTGGTTATGCAATGTATCTGTTTCTTTTGGTTACTATGATTTTATCTCTGTTTCAAACTTGGAAATCTAATGATGTAGATGGATGAATTGTAGCAGTTTTGAGTTTGTGTTTGCTATATCATGAAGAGCAATACTCAATCAAAAAGCACATTTGGTCTTCTTGTGTGCAGATACTAGACGGCAGAGATCTTCTGAACGAGAGAACAGATGCAGAAAACAAGTATCTGAAAAAGGTTAGTTGTTTTTATCACACTTATCTACCTCTACATTAATCTCTAATTTGCTAGAGTTTGGATTGGGTATGTACACTAACAAGATGAATCAAATATTGAGCATTTTTCTCCGGTATTAATGTGATTGTGTATGGTTGTCTGATATGAAGACTAAGTTAATGTCCTAAACTCGTCTTAGATATGCAAATTTCAGATAAAATAAGAGAACATGTGCTGTTTAAATCTTAAGGCATTCTTGGTATTTTGTGCAGAAGCCGGAATCTTGGAGACTCGCATGTCAAACAATAGTAGGGAACAAAGAAAACTCTGGAAAGGTTGGTACCTACTTTAAGTCCTCCATTGTTTCAAACACCAATATTTTGGATCATCTTTATCATAGATTTGGGATCAAAAAGAGTTTTCTTCAAATCCTTTATGATGTTTCTCATGGAGACCTATCGCATTGGTTATAGGTTGTCGTTCAGCGGATCCCGCAGTGGAAAAAGTGAATCCGATCCATATAAGACTCTATTCGTTTCGTATTTATATGTATATAACATGTATCTGTATCAATGTTGTCTCGTATTAATGTAAGATTTGCTTCTTGGAAACGTTTTTCTTTTTTCTTTTGAGTTATTGAATTTGGCGATGCCATGATAGTGAAGTTTACTAGAAAATCTAAAGAGCTGGCATGAGAATTGTTCAAGTTGTGACTTGTGCTAGTCAAACGTATTAATGGTGACAATCACAGATACAAATCATTTGATTACAGATATCGGTCGGTTTTTAGATTTTGACTGGTTTTAATATCAAACATATTAATCGTTTTTATGGAAGTAAAAGATTGGCATCCTGCCAAATTGGGGAGAATACATCAGAAATATCTCAAAATTCTTAATGGATGTCCCAAGAAAATATGTTATCACAAAAAAAGTGACCCTCTATTATCTCTCTCTCTCTCTCACCAAATTCGTCAAAGAACATTAGAAACATAGAAAAACTTAGCTGGTGCATCAAGAGTCGACCCAAAATAAGAGTTTTCCATAAGATCACGAATTTGAATCGAGAGGAAACAAAACTTAAACATTGCTTTAATTTCCAGCCCAGAAAGACAATAAGCCTCAGGCCTGAGCAACCTTTTAGCTCACTCATTACGCGCCGTACCTAAAAACAGGGGTTTCAAGTCAAAACGCAATCTTTTCTCTCATTTTCATTTTTTACTCTGTTTCCTCATTTCTTTACCTTTTTTTTTCTTGTCAAGAAAGAGAAATATTAAGGAAGGGGCCAAAGAAGCATCACTATCTGAATCATCATCCTTTTTTTTTTATGTGTGATTGCTGTTCAGCTCCGAATTTTATATCCAGAAAAATATATTTTTTATCTCCTTGCTCGAGCGGTGAAGAAAATAAAAAAGAAATCTAAAATAATCGCAAAAGAAAGAGAAATGAAGAACTAGGATCACCACCAACAATAGATTTTCGATAGCTGGAAAAAGTTGACTCTTCTTCTTAATCGGATTCCTTGTCTTGGTTTCTGGGTTTTCTCTTCTGGGGGCTTTCCAATTTCACCTTGCGACCAGGAGGAAAAAGCAAAAATCACCCATTGAGAAGGATGTTTGTTTGTTTGTTCCCCTAATTTGCCTAGTTTTTCTTACGAAATTAATTCCAGGTGCGAATTAGGTTTCGTCAACTCTGTCGATTGCGAGTTTTACCGAATTCTCAAATTGCAAAAACCCTGCCCATGTGTATCTTTTGCTATTTATGATCTTGCTTTCCCTTTCCCTAGTTTCTATGGGATAAATTAGGATAAAATTTGGCGGAGTTGCTTTCTTTTGATTTATGATTGAGCTATGCGGTTGTAGTTACGTGGATCGATCGGTTTTCATGAGGGAAAATTCTGAATCAGGCATGAATTGATGATGATCCTTCATGGTTGGTTTTTAGGTCGTTTAGGGTTTAAGCTTCCTTCTCTCTCTCTCAATTTCATTATTTCTGTCTTCTCTGTGGATTTGCAGGACAGTTTCCATGGTGCGGTATGCGCAAAACATAGATGGGTGTTTCTCATCTGAAACAACAACATCGTATTTCAAATAAAGCTGATACCTTTTCTAGATTCATGGAACGATCATCAGATAATCTCGTTGGCCGAAATGAGCACATCATTGACATTCCGAGAAACGCCGCCATTGCTTCCTCTTCTCATGATAGAATCTCAAACGTTATGGAGCCTCTACAGTTTGAAGAGGAGAGACCATCGACTTCTCCTCCTGTGCCTGTTTCTCAGCCAGCTACAGCTACAGCTTCTTCTTCTTCTTCGTCTATGCGGTCAAATCCTAGAAGCATCCGCCGCAGAAGAAGTCCTTTGAATTCAGGTTTATGGATCTCCATCGAACTGCTCCTCACTGTTGGTCAGATCATTGCGGCGATCGTCGTTTTGTCTTTGTCGAAACATGAGCATCCTCGTGCACCGTTGTTCGCTTGGATCGTGGGCTATGCGTGTGGATGCGTTGCCACGCTCCCGCTTTTGTACTGGAGATATTATCATTCGAATCAGGCCTCTGAACAGGACTCTGGCCAGCATCGTCCTAATCTTAACGTCGCAGCGGGACCGTTCGCCTTCTCGATATCCAGGACATCTGAAGGTGATGGTCGACAGACCAATGCTACGCCTTCTCGTGCTAGTAGATATCATGGCTTCATAACTGCTGCCAGGTACATATCTTAACGCCCTCATGCTCTTAGATGATCATGGTTGGTACTCGGAGTCACTGATTCGAGTCTTTGATCTTGGCTTTTCAGACTTAAAGTTATTGTGGAATACTTCAAGATGGCTCTGGACTGCTTCTTTGCGGTGTGGTTTGTGGTAGGTAATGTATGGATATTTGGAGGGCACTCATCTGCAGCCGAGGCTCCTAACTTGTACAGGTATGTTGTTCTTTCGGTTATTCCAAAATTACACTCAAACCTCTAGCTGCATTTGTCAAAGGCTGAACCTTTTTTGTTTTCTTTATATTGTTATAGGTTATGTTTAGTGTTTCTTACCTTTAGCTGTATCGGCTACGCGATGCCCTTCATCCTCTGCACAACGATATGCTGCTGCTTGCCGTGCATAATCTCAATTCTCGGATACAGAGAAGATCTAACTCAACCTCGAGGTGCCACGTCTGAGTCGATAAATGCATTGCCGACTCATAAGTTTAAGTTAAAGAAGAGCAGAAGTAGTGGCGAGGACAATGGTTCAAGTGTTAGCGAAGGTGGAGTTGTGGCGGCTGGAACAGATAACGAACGTACGATTTCAGGAGAAGACGCTGTGAGTTTGCTTAGATTTTTGACTGTGCATACACACACACACACACTCACATACTATCAAGTTTCTGAATATCAAAGTATGTTTGCAGGTATGTTGCATTTGCTTAGCTAAGTATGCGAACAACGAGGAGTTAAGAGAGCTTCCATGCTCACACTTCTTCCACAAAGAGTGTGTTGACAAATGGCTCAAGATCAATGCCTCTTGCCCTCTTTGCAAGAGCGAGGTTGGGGAGAAAAACTCTGATTTGACAAGCCAGGGGGTTTTAACCTCGCTCTCCTCTGGGGAAAATGATAGCAATCAGCAACCGCAACAACAGCAACAGCGGAATGAACATAGAGTTGAGAGTGGTTTGGCCTAGATGTCTGAGATTTGCTCTATGTCACAGAAGAAGCCGTTTTGCGGTGGTTCAGACAGAAAATGAGGTTTGCTTTGCGCTTCTCATTGCCAAGAAGGTGAAGAATGAAACCGGCGAGAAAGCTCGCTGCTCTGTAAATGTATTTTGGAACCCTCTGAGTATGTAGGAGAGTTCGAGATTCGGTGACTGAGTTTGAGTGTGTTTCGAAATACCTTTTTTCTTTTTCACTGAATTTGTCACAAGAAGAATCTTTATACAAGAAGCCATGGTTCTTTCGATACCTTTTGCAGCTGAATTGCCTAATCGATGACCTAGGCTCATAATCGAATTATTCTTAATAAAAAACTTTGCACATGAACAACCTTACATGATTCAAAATATCGCCTTTGTTGGTTCTGTAGACTCAGTGTTAGAACTTAGAACCTGTAATCTGCTGGCTAAGTAGTAAAGATCGTATGGATTTAGCAAAGAGAGCCAATAAAAGAGAACTTTTTCTTAACATTATGGCATCACAGCTTCATGCATATGTTTTTAAAACGGTTTGAAAGAAGCAAAAGTGATTTAAGTTACTGAAACATTCAGAGCGCAGCCAAGACAATAAATAAATTCTTCTGATTGAGGGCACTAGGCGTTTTCTGCAGACGGGTTTTCATGAACATAAGTGCCAACTGATTTGAACCATCTCAGCAGGTTACGGTGATCCTTCACGTAAAGCCACGCCTGAAGAAACGGGAAGAGACTCTCGTTCACACCCCGGTCCTCTAGGAAGCCATGGAACACATCTCTCATCTTCTCATCGAGCTCTCTGTCAAAACAAACACCAACACTTAATTAAAGGATCTTCCTTTTTATTTATCAATTGCGAGTCCTGTGTTGTATCCAGGAGAAAATAAACAGAATGCTGCTTTGCATGCACTAATTCTTCTCTACAACTGAGAAATGCGTTGAAAGAAGATATAATGAACATGCCACAGACTACTCCTAGATTTGGAAGAATCGAAATATATACTTCTATTTAATCTAGAACACATCTACCACCTTTCTAAATTCACATTCCACAACGTCAACCAGAAAACGAACCAAAAAGGGTACAAACTAGGAATGTTGTTTCTTGAAATCCTTCTATAATTCCACGGAAGCTCATAGTCAATGATAAGCAAGTTTGAGATCATTTCAGAAATGACCATAAACATAGTTGGTCTATTCACAATATTCTAAAGGTAGCAGGAGAAGACAGCTGAAAAACAGAAATGAATGACCTAACTAGCCACTTAGAATATATAAGTACTCAAATGTTATTACTAGAGAACACCTGTACTTCTTCAGTGGCATAAGGACACCATAAATCTCAATTTACTAGAGCTCAAGCAAATACTGAAAGCTAAAAGACTGCAATTTTAATGAACAAAGTTATAAGAGAAGATTTAAGAGAAAAACATACTCAAAAGAAGGGCCTGTGTATCGCGAAGAATCATCGGACAACTCCAGATCTTCGAGTTTAGGCCTCATGGAGACGGAGTGAATACCCAATGCATCTGGGTAAAGGCCACAAAGGAAATGCAACGAATCAGCCTGGTTTTGCTTTGCCACAGCCACATGTAGGAACAGCTGGTTGATCCCATCATCGTCTTCCTCATCACCTCCGTGAGCCAACCGCATAACGAAAAGACTGATCTCTTCATTTCCAACAGATTTCTTCAGAACAGCCCCAGTTCCCTCTAGCGATCCTTTCACAATCTCAAATGGTGACGGAGGACTCACTTTCTGCAAATCAAAAACCTCAATTCTGATTACACTCCGGTAAGCCCGGTAAAACGCAAGCGGATATAAAACCCTAAATGAACGAAGCAATAACTGGGGTTTAAGCAACAATACTGGAATTTCAGTTATAGCTCAGAAGCAATGAGAAAGAGACGAGTCGAGAGAGAGAGGGATAGAGAGGGAGAGAGAAGGAACGAACCGGAGGAGGGGTCATCTTGGAGACTTCGAGGTAATGTTCCTTGAGGGAACGCAGAAGCATCGAATCGACGGCAGCCGAAACGTCGCCGGCCTTTCCACTTCCACCGGCTTTACTGGATAGCGCTCGCTGTATCTGACGCCGGACGGCGACATTACCGATCACTCTCCTCCACATGTCTACTTCTCCCGTCTCTAAAACCTCGCGGCGAATTGCCTTGACTGTAAATAGATACAACTTGTTCTTTCTTCGCCGAATAAAAACATAACTTTTAAATCGCAAGACAAAAGAAAAAGAATTTAGGTTCTACAGAACAATTGGGGATATTTACGGAAAATGACAAAAAAATATGATTATATAGGAGTAAAATGATAACATTTGAGATTGATAATGAAATGAAATATACATAGACGAAGACACGAAGTAATTCTGGTTTCGATTTGACAAAATTGAGGGAAATTTGAGTTAGGCTACAATTTTGTACACTTTTTACTCAACTGTGGTTATTTCACCAGTATGATAATGTGGAACATAGGTCCTAAGGCATTGCACCATTAGAAGATTATCAATCAAAGCATGCACATGAAGGATCTGATGGAAAGCAGAGAAAACAAAGATAACCAAAAGAAAGGAAAATAAATTCAAAAGAGAAAGCTTTTCTAGTCAAATGACCTCACTGTAACACAAATAAAAAAGATCAAAGTCATATCTCTAAGAGTACGAGCCAACCACATTCCCTTGAAAATAGTATATCAAGGCAAAGTCTCATATGAACAAAAACGGCGAGACACATGTTCATATCAAAACGGGGCTGGGGTGGGATTGATTTCATCTCAAATCTCATCTCACTGGCTGCTGATTGTAGTGATTCTTCTCTTTCTTCTTTGCCGCTGCCAACTTTGCCTTCCTCGCAGCTGCTTCTTGTGCAGCAACTTTCGCAGCAGCATCCGTCTCTTTGCTTGATTTCTTCTTCCTCATCGATGCAATCTTCTTCAGCCGTTCTTTGACATCCAGGGAGGAAGAAGCCTCATCCTCCTGCTCAGCGGACTCACCTGCAGCATCTGAGTTGCTCTTCACTTCATCCTGAGATTCTTTTGCCTCCTTCTGTCTCTCCTTCTTTTTCTTCTTCTTCGAGGCCTTTGATTCTCCCGTTGTGTTCTCCTTCTTCTCTCCCTCTCCATTCACTTCCTTCTTTTCTTGCTTATCTGTCAGGGATTTGCAAAAGAAGAAACATTTATCAGTATCAGCTATTAGTTTTCTCAGCCAGAGATACAAATAATGTGTTTTAATACCTTGAGAGTTCTCTTGCCCATTGGGTGCAACTCCAAAATCTGCTAACAAGGCCTCAAGCTCAGCGAGTTCCTTCTGTTTCCTCTCCTTCTTGGAAAGCTGCCTCTCTGCCTCCTTAGGTGGTGCAGGAACTTCAGGAGCCTCAGGCTCTGCTTCAGGAACAACTTGCGTCTCTGTTCCCTTTTCAGTCTCTTCCTCCAAATCATCATCATCGCCTTCATCAAGAATATCCTCTTCGCTTTCACTCACCTGCGACACTCAAAGCAAACAAACGCATCTCGTTAAGAACCAATGAACCAGAGGAACAACTTATATTGCCAACAAAGTGTTGCAAAGAAGATACATATATGATAATGTTCATGAGACAAAGCAGCTTACTTCAAAGCAACAAAGATAAACATATTAAAAGCCAAAGCTAGGAGATCAATCAATCAGCAGAATAAAAGCCAAAACCATTGAATCCCCAACTCCTCAAATCAAAAGAGGCTCATTGCAAGAAACATATTAACCAGATTAACAATTGGACCTAATCAAGCTTCTTTGAGCGTTAACACAACAAAGCTATCCAACCACTAGTCAAATGCATAACCAAGATGATGAACAGAAATCCACTAATGAAAAGCATATAAAGGTTTGGGATTTCTGACCTCAGCGGCAATCTCTTTTGCATCCGAGTGGGACGCTTCAGAGGTGCTCCACAAAGCCTGAGGAGGAGCAGTGGTGGCGTAATAGTCATCATCTTCATCGTCGCTCTCGATATCAGCCCAAGCCTTAGCTTTGAGAGGCGTAGGTTGCCAGAAGACCTGTGGCTCAGGCTCCTTTGGAGGATCTTGTCGAGATGATGACTTTGATGAACCTTTGCTCTTGTCAGACTTCTTCTTCTTCTTCGAAGTATCCAAAGCGGCAAACAAGTTGGTGCTCTGAATCGGCATCGATCCCTCGTCTCTCCTGTTTCCACCACCAAACATCTTTTTTTCTCTTTCACAAAAACAACCCCCGATTTAGATTACAGAAAGCTTAAGTGACGAAGACGAAGATAAGCCGAAAAGTGTTTTTCCTGAAGAAGCCTAGAAACCGGAATTTCCCAATTTCAGCTCAACGAATCGAAAAAGAGCTGACGCAACGGAAGATGAATCAATCGAGCAAGTGAACGAAATGGAGGAAGGATGACAAAAATTCGACAATCGTCGCTAATTTAGACGGAAATTTTGATCTTTGGAAAGCAAAATCACAGAAGCTGGACCAACCAGAAGAAGAATACGGAAAACCTCTGGTGGACGGCGATTCTGGAGAGCGATGGATAAATAGGAGGGGACAATGAGAAAGAAGAGAATGTAGGAAACTTCGGGAAGCAATTCTTATCGAGTGCCAGATTAGGGTTTCTTATTTAGTGTGTGACTGTGTGTGTCAATCGTAGAGGTTAGGGCTACTGGCTACACGACAACAAGGAGGTAGCGCAAGGAGATGGCTCTTATTAATCGTATGGGATCAAAACCGGGAAATTATATTAGAAAACCGAACCGATCCTAAGCGAAAATTGGATAACATAATCGAATTGAAACTCCTTTTTTTTAATATATAAAAGTGTACAATTATTTTGTGAAGTAACGTACGTTTTAGAGGTTTAGTATCACAGATTCAGAATTAAGAATGAAGATTCTTATCTTGAGTGGTATCTGTACTTTATTTTCATGTGTGAGATGATCATCGAAGATTTTTTGATTTTACTGTAGTGTAAAGACAAATGACAATCAACATATGCAATTACAATTTTACGATGACAGTTTTCTTGTAATACACGAATCTTAAATTTGTATTTTATCAAAACCGATCATATTCTTTTATGCAAATCCGAAAAAGGAAAATATATGTAAAACGCTACAAATTTTAGTAAATTTTAGACATTATAAAAAATTTCACGAAAATAATTAAGATATTGATTGCGAAATCAAAAACATGTAATCTAGTTCTTGTTTGGATACATTTTTCTTTCCAATAAAACTTGATTACATATATCGGATAATGTAAAATCGTATAATTTTTTGATATGTTATATCGTTACGTGTATCAAGTTCTCTAACGTAATACTTAATATTTTCCATTTATGTGTATAATATTTAAGTTAACAAAAGAAATAAATAAAAATTACATATGTAGAAAATTTGAAAATACCATAAACTAGTTATTTGTAGTACCAGTTTTTATTCAATTAATCTATCGTTTATATCAAATACGTAACCACCAAAAAGTTAGTAATGATATAGTACTAAAATTAGCCCCTAGTATGAATAGTTGTTAAGTTGAATGATGTCTCTAACAATTGCTGGCTTGGTGGACACAAGATTGCGGTAGGTTAGCAACACACGTGAGAACAAAATTAAATAAGTTTATATGCGAAGAAAAATCTTTAAAATCTTGACCGTCCAAAATATTTCGCAGATGAGGATCCGAAACGTCCATTGTATCTTTTCTGTTGCAGAATATTTTTTCGTGCTTATTCGAAAGTAAATATGGGCCGTAGATTTAGTAACGCGTCAAGATCGGACGGTATCCGTGATCAGATTTTTAATTTGGTATATGTTTTCTTTAGATGGTCTTAACTGAAAAAACCTTACTCTCGCGAAACCAGACGAAACCCTAGCTCTCCCGTTTCTCCCGGTTTAAAAAAATAAAAAGAGAATCCAGCAAATTTGCTTTTTATTTTCTGCAATTGAACGAAATTAATTTGGGAAAAGAGATTTTTGATTGATCAGGGATCCGATTCGCAGTCCGATTTATCGAAGCCCTAATTTTGATTTTGGGATTGTGGCGACTATAGAGGTCCTTAGGAGTCGATATCATCAGATAAAGTGATGCAGGTAGGCATGCAAATTTCTCTTTTTTTTTTCCTCCTTTGCACTTAAATTTTGCTTGATTGTTGAAAAAATCTCCATTGATTTGATGAATGCATAATTTTTCCTGGAGTGGGATTTGATCGGTATTTATTTTGGCAACTTGTTTGTTCTTCTTTTTATCTACTTTGGGTAATTTTGTGATTCTGGGTTTGGTGTTGCTTTCACAGATCTGAAAAATGTGTCTATGCGTATGTGATGGAAATTGAGGCTCTGGGACTTTTGATTCTGGGTTTTCGTTCGAGGTATCTTTCATGGAAAATAGACTAGGGCACTCTAATGGAGTGGGAATTTCAAAGAAATCAAGGTCGTTGGATCTGAAGACGCTGTATAAGTCTAGCATTTCCAAGGATTCTGTGAATAAGAGCTTTAAAAGGAAAAATAGGTCTGGGAATGATAGTGATCAGTTGAAGCAGGATAAGAAGAGCAGGAAAGTTGTTTCTTTGAGTAGCTTTAAGAAAGCTGATAGCGAAAACGATGATATCCTGGATAAGGCATGCAATGGCAACGCAATTTTGCACAACTTGGAGGACTCCAAGGTGGTTTTGGATGAGAAACTGTGTGATAGTAGTGGACTTCAAGGGATTTCAGTCGGTTTGGCAGGTAGTATGATCTATGTTCCTAGACGTAGGAGAGATTTTGTTGGGAGGAGTAGGTTTGAGAATGGCCTTGTACAGAAGTCTGCAGGGGAATCTGATAGTCAAGACGAGCTGATTGATAAGATCCCTAACGATACTGGTGAAGAATCTAGTGCTCTTGATCAGCTCTCTAAAGCCGAAGAGAAGAATTCTGACAAGGAAATCAAAGAATCTGATTCAGCAGCTCAGCTGCAGTTGGAAAATGGCCATGCTAATCCGTCTCCAGTGAAAGATGACCAACTGGTTTTCAAGAATCCGCATTCTAATAGCAGAAAAAGGAAGTCCTCCGCATCAATCAGACGCGTGGGAAAAGAGACCAAGTCGTCAGGTGATACTATAATAGCCAAGGTATCACGAGAAGATGATGAGGAGAATCTTGAAGCTAATGCTGCAAGAATGCTGTCTTCGCGGTTTGATCCAAACTGCACCCAGTTTCCTTCAAGTCCTGTTACCCCTGCTTCACCATCTGCCAGTAGATTGCATCCTTTATCTTCAGGAAAGAATTCAGTTAATCCTCGGTCTGAGTTGCTTGGTACCAAATCTGTCTCAGACGACACTGATGATAGAACGCTGCGACCAAGGAGAAAGCGTGATGGGAAGGGTAAAGTTCGGAAAAGGCGCCACTTTTATGATATATTATTTTCAGATGTAGATTCACAGTGGCTGGTAAACAAAAAGATAAAAGTTTTGTGGCCTTTGGATGAGAAATGGTATATTGGGTTTGTGGATGGTTATGATGGAGACAAGAATCTGCATCATATAAAATATGATGATAGGGATGAAGAGTGGATCAACTTACAGGGCGAGAGATTCAAAATTCTGTTGTTCCCTACTGAAGTTCCTGGGAAAAATCAACGGAAAAGGCGTAATTCAGGCTCCAAATCTACTCCGAAAATAAAAGGGAGTGATACATCCATCAAAGACGAAGAGAAGCAGAAGGGAAAGCTAGAAAATGATAGCGTGGATGACATGGAATCAGAACCAATCATCAAATGGTTGGCTCGGTCTATCCATCGTGACAAATCTTCCACTCTTAAGGCTGTACAAAAACGGAAAAAGTCAGAAACAGTGACATCTAATGAAACTGTGAAAATGAATGGGGATGTTGTTAGAGACACTGCAGGACAGTACACAGATAGATCTGCTAGTTCTCTTCCATCATGTGGATTACCTGGACCGAGTGGGAATGAGTCCTTGTTGGAAAGCTCGGGCAAGGGTAGTATATATCCTATAGTCTATTATAGGAGACGACTTCATACAGCAAAAAAAGGAATCTACAAGGGGTCAAGTGACAGTAATATTGAAGTTCTGAAGCAGCTTCATGTGTCAAAAAGTCCGGATCCTGAGGTAGAGTTTTTGCCTTTTGAAGGTTCTGAGCTTCTGGAGCTTTATTGTCCGTGGAATCACACAGAGAAATTCGAGTTGTCCCTAAGCCTACCTGTTGTTTCTTTGATGAACTACTTCCTTATGGCGGATGTTGATCGGTTTACACGCGTTGCTTTCTTGCTTCATCATGGTACACTTGTGACTTTGTGGCCAAGGGTTTGTTTGGAAATGATTTTCCTGAATCACCAAGATGGGTTAAGGTATCTGATATTTGAAGGCTGTTTAATGGACGTTGTTCAGTTGGTTTTCCGTATCTTGACGGTAGTAGATCATTCGAATAAGCAAGGAGTACAAGGAGCGCAGGGATCTGATGCCGACTTGCAGTTGCCAGTTTTCTCAATTTGTCTCCAAGTTTCTCGCATCACAGGATTTCAAAGGCAGTTTGCATTTCAATTCTCCAGTTTCCATGAAGTGAGACATTCAAAGTGGACATACTTGGAACAGAGTGTCAGGAGGCATTCTATGCTGGTTAAGCAACTATCAACTTCAGAGTGTACGCACGATAACATGAAGTCCCTGCAAAAGGTTAAGTGATTCTTTAATGCATGATTTTGGTACACTGCCTCACTCGTTTTTGGTTTTATATTTCTGTAATCTCTTACCAACTTTTAATTTTTTATGTTGAACATCAGGTTATGCAGAAGAGATCTAGGAATGGAATCAGCTCAGGAATTTTTCCTAGAGGATCGTCATCCTTTAAAACCTGGCCCACATCTGTTTGCTACAAGAAGCAAAATACGTTTCAACCTCCTTCACTATTACTTAGTTTACACCTGAAGATGGTAAGAGAGCCGGGTCATGATTCATCCGAATACCAGGGAACTGAACGGGACATGGTAATAGACGAGGGTTGTGATATTGCTGATTGCACAAATGAACATTCTGAACCTTCTTTCAAGAGTAAGGGCCAAAATGATGGACCAAGTATCACTTCTTCCAGAGGGCAAGAAGAGCAAGAGTCAAAAGATCTTCATACGCCTACGCCGTCTCAGCGGCAGCAGCTGGGGTCTAATTCTGAAAACGGGATGTCATTCAGTCCTTCTGTTGTCAGACATAAGCATGAAACCAGGTCTAATATTGCGATGAATGGCAGTAGCATTCAAGTTTCCGTATCTGATCATTCTGAGGATGGTGCTCCACAGTCGAGTAGTATGGCCTTGAACATTCAAGGTAGCATCTCAAGTCCCAAGGCCACTGCCCCAAGAAGTATGTCGCAACAAAATAAGAGTTCTTTAACTGGCCATCTGCCACATGGTTGGTCGGATTCAAAGGGAGACTTTCTGCACACTAATTTGGGAAATGGACCTAAGAAGCGACGTACCCAAGTGTCTTATTCATTGCCTTCTGGTGGTTCTGATTCGAAAAACAAAGGGTCCCTACACAAGGGGCTTCCGAACAAAAGGATTAGAAGGTCTGCTGCTGATGTTTCCAAAGGTCTTCAGAAAGATTTGGAGTCTAGTTTCTGTGATGCCAATGTGCTAGTCACTCTTGGTGATAGAGGCTGGAGAGAATATGGTGCTCAAGTTGTCCTGGAACCTTTTGATAACAATGAATGGAAACTCTCGGTAAAAATCTCAGGGACAACAAAATACTCACACAGGGCACATCAGTTTCTGCAACCTGGGTCGACAAATAGGTTTACACATGCTATGATGTGGAAAGGTGGAAAAGATTGGACCTTAGAGTTTCCTGATAGGGGACAATGGTCTCTTTTCAAAGAGATGCATGAAGAGTGCTACGATAGAAATACTCGGGCTGCTTTAGTTAGAAATATTCCTATTCCTGGCATCCGCTTGATAGAAAAAGACAATTTCGACGAAACGGAAACTGAGTTTATCCGCAGTTCTTCTAAATATTTTCGGCAGACTGAAACTGACGTCGAGATGGCATTGGATCCTTCACGTGTTATGTATGACATGGACAGCGATGATGAGCAGTACCTTTTGAGACTTCGTGAATGTTCGGATGCTGAGAATAGTTGCTCTTGGGAGATGACTGAGGACATGTTTGAGAAAGCGATGGACATGTTTGAGAAGGCTTCATATGTAAAGCAGCGTGATCACTTTACAATAATCGAAATTCAAGAACTGACAGCCGGAGTTGGATCCTTAACAGCAATGGAAAAGATATATGAGCATTGGAGAACAAAGAGGCAGAGTAAGGGAATGCCATTAATCAGGCATCTTCAGGTACAATCTTTGATGCCTTTCCATCTCTTTTTTTATTTGATTGTATTTTTCTTCATGTTTGTCTTGAGATTTCAAAATCTGCATGGCTAGGCTCTACATAAATCATCTTTCTTTTTTCGTAATTGGGGTGAAATGCAGACTTGTGGACAATAGGGCTTATCTTATGTGTTCTATAGTCTGCTTTTGTATTTTATGACTCGGTTAGTGTTATATGCAAACAGGAACTGGAACGATTACTAGGTGAGAAAGTGCATCTTTTTGTAGGTAGTTGGCCTTACTGTTAGTTTTTGTAAGAAGATGTCTGGAAGTCCATGACTGTAACATCCTCTATAGCCTAGTGCTCGCAATTGCTAGTTCAGTAATGATGTAGCTGTTCTGCTGCAATAGGTTTTGACAACAGTACTGGTCATTTTATTTTGCAATATTTTTACTTGTCGCTAACGCAATCACTTGTTTTTCTACCTCTGCAATTCAGCCACCTTTGTGGGAAAAATATCAACGAGAGGTCAAAGACTGGGAGTTGGTTATGAACAAAGCAAACACTTCAATATCCTGTGGGTCACAGAAGAATCAGTCACTTATTGAGAAGCCAGCGATGTTTGCTTTCTGTTTTAAGCCTCGAGGTTTGGAAGTCAAGCACAGGGGAACAAAGCACAAGTCACAGAAGAAACTCTCGGTTTATACTCAGCATAGTACTGCTTTGGGAGATTATCATGTCTACAATTCATCTGGTAACTCACTTTTCCCTGTTTTGTTTTCTGAATCCTCTGTTGACTCTGGTTCTTCTATATATGAGTTATGTCTTTAATTCAACTTTTCCATTTCTGTAGCAGGAAGAAGATCTGTTGGTTTTGCCTCTGGAGATGAGAGGTTTTTATATTCAAACCACAACTATGAGCACTTGGACGAATATCCTATGCATCCGGGATATCCTGGAACATATTCCCCACGTGAAGGATATTTCTCGACCGGTGGAAATGGATATCACAGGAATCACCAACACAAGTTTCAAAAGATCAACGGGAAGAGGAATACGAGCGAACGTTGGAATGCAGGCTATTCTGAATACCCCAGTCCCAATCTTCTTTGTCACTCCAACAAATCTCAGCGTCTTGATCTGGAAGAGTTACGCAATAGTAAAGATATTGATGAGTACAAATTGCGAGACGCAGCTGGTGCTGCAAGGCGTGCATGCGCTTTGGCCAAGCTGAAGCGAGAAAGAGCTGAGATTTTGAGGTACAAAGCAGATCTGGCGATCCAGAAAGCTGCAGCTGCTCTCATGTGTGCAGAGGCTATTAGAGCTTCTTCTTCAGTGGACCAAAGCAGCAGCGGTTTCGAAAGCTCAAGCGAAGGATGAGACGGTAGATACCTCTTTTGTTAGTCTGGTGGTCCGAGTCTTCTTCGTTAGCGCACCTCTTGAGCAAAAGGAGAGAGGGGGAGAGAGATTCAACATGCTTTGTTCCTCACACAAGCCCCGGTCTTGACACGAACCTAAATGAGTTTCACTGTACAGCAATTTGGCTCCCTCCGCTTTAAGTAAGCTATATTTTGATGCAGCAATAACTCCGATTTGGGACTCTGAAACTTGATCTCATTTACCCATCGGCTTAGACGTCGTTTAGTAGTTAAGAAGAGTCGAGATACAAAAATGAGGAGATTGTTAAAAAAAAAACAAAAGAAAGAAAAAAGAAAGAGGAGATTTGTAAGTAATTTGGTTTATTAGCGTTTTTTTTTAGTAGAGAGATTCAAGATTCTTCTACTCCCAAGTGTTCTGCGGTGCTCTTCTTCACTTTCTCTCTTCTCTGGCTTCTTTTACTTTTTCCTTCTTTCTAATTCCCTACACTTGTCATGACGTGTGTATACATAAGATAAAGTGACACAACAAGTTTCAAATGGATGCTTGCATATGCTCGAAATGTCTACAGAATGATGTTTCAAGGAGGTTTGGTTCTCATTACATTTCTTTACAAAAATCATCTATATAAGTTAACCTCGTTTGGTAAAATCCATGTGAGTGACAAATTTTGTATTCTCTCTCTCTAAAATAAGAATCATTCTCTTATAACGTTAACAACAAACACAAAAACTTGCAAGTATATATATATACAAAAGCTAAAATGAGAGAGAGAAGAAGAAAAATGGTCTGTGGTATTTCAATGGGGGGAAACCTTTTCAAGTCAGCAGTTTTGTCGGAGAATCTCTCCTCTGGCTCCATATCTCTCCATGTCTATTTTTGTCATCTCTGTATCTCTCTCTGGACAACCTGAGACAGAGACGTTTCTTTTCTCTTGTTTCCATCTCCATTTTTTTTGTTCCTGCTGTTTCTTCCTCTTCTTCTTCTTTTTGTAAGGTTTTTCTTTTCTCTTGGTCTTTCATAGGTTTTCAACATTTTAGAGCATAAGGGTTTCCAACTTGAACCTTTCTTGGGTTTATTTCCCATGTTTTTCCGCCCTTTACATGACTTATATATATATTCTGCGGATGAAACCATTAGAAATATATTAATTAGATTCTGTGTAACGTAAAGGAGCTTCCAGAAACAATCTTGCTACTCTTATCTAATATGCACTTGAATTCTTTTGGCATATAAGATAATATCTGTTTTGTTTCAGGTGATTTGGTAATGATGATGGAATGGCTCTGTGATAGGATATCTCATTTGAGAGATTGATGAGAAAGAGGCATTTTTCCAAAAATGGGGAGCAGGATGAAAGAAGACGAGCGAACTGAAAAGGCTATCCGAAGTTTATTGAAGCTTCCCGAGAACCGGAGATGCATCAATTGCAATAGCCTGGTACAGTTTTTGTTGGCCAGTGATCATCTTCAAAGTCTATGTCTCAAATTTAGTTTTCTGTTCTCAAGTTCTTAACATGTGAGTCCTGCAGGGTCCACAATATGTCTGCGCAACATTCTGGACTTTTGTCTGCATCAACTGCAGCGGAATCCAGTTAGTCTTTTCTCTTAGTTTCCTCTTTTTTTTACTTTCATTTTCATTTTGACTTCTCTGTTAATCCAAGAAAAATCATAGGAACTTGGAACTTTTCTTGACAAGACTCCTTTTGTTTTTGTGTGTGTCTATGTATATATAGTCGAGAGTTTACACATCGTGTGAAATCTGTATCAATGGCCAAGTTCACAGCAGAAGAAGTTAATGCACTTCGTGCAGGAGGAAACGAGGTTTGATTCTGTTAAAATCATCAATCTGCTGTGTAAACTTTCATAATGATCTTTTGGCTTGTTCTTTTTCAGAGAGGCAGACAAATTTACTTTAAAGAATGGGATGCTAAGCGTGATGCTTACCCCGATGGCAGGTTCTTGGGACATTTTACCAATCTCAGACGAGTTCTTTAACACTAAGATTAGCAAAACTATAAAGCTAACCTCAATTTTCTTTGTTCTTGTTCAGTAATATCCGCAAGCTCCGAGATTTTATCAAAAGTGTTTATGTGGACAAAAGATACACGAGTGAGTCCAATGACAAGATCTCAAGGCAAAAACCGGTAAAACTGCTTTATTTCACTTAACCAAATCTGGAGCATGTTCCTATTTACACAATTTTAATGTCTCTTTTGGTGTTACCATTCAGGATGTCATAGAAGATTACAAGGAAAGTAAGAAGGCCAGTGGAAACTTCTTGGGATCTAGAAGCTTACAGTCTCTGGATAAATATGAAAGTGAAAGAGCTAGTGCTGTTGGGAGGAGTGGAAAAGAATCTCTCAAGTTTTATTTTGAGGACAAGAAACAACAACAACAACAACAACATGTTGCGCATAATCCAAAGGCTAGAGGTTTACCAAAGAGTCCTATCCGGTTTGAGATTGTTGATGATAGGTTTAGAGACGATGGAAGTGTTAAGAGATATGATGTGCGTAGAGATTTAAGAGGAAACTCTAAATCACTTGACCTCTCTAATAACAAGGACACACCTAGCTTTCCCATTGTACGTCATGCCAGTGAAGTCTTAGGCAACAATGGTGTAAAAGTTGAGAAAAAGAAGGATCCAGTGAATAATCAGGTAACCTGGAGATGTATTTACTTCTATGTTTTTGTATTTTTGAGTGTGTTTTATGCATTAAGTAAGATGTGAACAAGTTGCATTTTCCAGATGACTGCATCATCTGAGAAAATGAAGAATCCTAGAAGTTTAATGGACGACGAACCAGTTTCAGAACCCTCTGATGACAGCATCAGACAGACTTCAAGTGAACTTACTGCATCTGTAAGGACAACTGAGGCTCCTGCTCCTAATTCTTTGGAAGCTTTGTTGTTTGGACTCTATGATCCTTCTGTTGCCTCTGGTACAAACAACCTTGAACTATGGAACACAAGTGATATTTCCTCTATTGCTTCTGTTGACAACTATCCTGCAGCTAGCCTTGAGACCCAGATTGTGCCAAGAACACCAGACAGTGTTACCTCTTTTGTCACATCACCTACAATTGCGCATGCTCAATCTCCTCATGCTGCTGATAACTTAAACACAAACGATATGGCTACACCAAGTTTTGCTGAAACTAACCAGGTAGTTTTGGATACATTTACAAAAACCCAAAGATCATATCAGTATCAATCAGAAGTTTGATATGCATGAAAAGAGAATCAAAATTAAAAGAAAATTTTGTTTTCTTCATGCAGGTGGTATTATTTGCATCACTTGAGGGACCATCATCAGATACATCTATTGAACAGTCAACTTTATATATCTCAAACTCTGCTCATGGAGTTGGATCTGAGCATCATCATCAAGATGAGACAAAAGCTAGCATAAGAAGTGCACTTCCGGAGGTAACAAAACCTTTTCTTTTGAATGTATTTTAATGGAGACTCTTTTGGCATCTCCAATCGTAAGAATCTAACCATTTGGCAGGACCTTTTCTCTGGAGGCTTCTCATTTGCCTCCCCACAAGTTCATGCTCATCATCATGGCATGGGATATGGCATGCAATATTATCAATATCCTGCGGTATACTTTCATTAATTTGGCATCATTTAGTTTATTGTTTCAGGGTCTGATCTAACCTTATATCCTTTTCTTGGCAGAGTACAGGAGCCTATACATATTCAGCAAAACCATCAAATCCCTTTGACATAAGCTGTGATGATACAGATCCAAACCAAGCACCACAAGTATGAAGCCTAGACAAAAACATTATAAGATTGCCTCAATGTTTCCTATAAGTTTACTTGATGTCTTCAAATGCTACCTATTCACCCATTTTATTTATGTGTCTTTGACAGTATCCTTCTATGGCATACGTACATGGAGGAGGCTTGCCTCACGTGTCAGCTCCAAGTGGGTATTCAGATTCTTCAAATCCAGCGGCAGATTCCATGGCACTGATGCCCTTTCAGTCACCTTATTATACAACAGATCCCAATCTTTCTCCTGGTGAGTCAAAATTTCTCTAATATGACATTCTTTTTTTTTTTGGTTGGAGGAGTCTATTAATAATTCTAAGAGTTGAATCATGTGCAATTAGGAGCATATATGGTGCCGCAGTCACACGTGAATATGTCCCCATCTTTCAGGTAAATTCATTAACTGTTCTTAATTAGGATCATTTTTTGGTTCTTGAAACTCTCGAGTACGCTTCTGTTTCATGGCAAGAAAATGATTTTGTGTGCAGAGGGCAAGAGATTAATGGCGCACACACTTTTCATCAAGCTAACAGTGGATATCCTTCTGCAAACGTCCCAAATGCTTATATATCCAGAGGAAATCCCTTTGATTGAGATCGAACTGCATAATATGTTTTGATTTGGAGGATTTTTATGGAAATGTAAAAATTTGACTTGCTTCAAGATTTGAAACAGAGGTCCCCATCATCTACTACGACCTGGTCCATACTCTTTTGCACTCTCCTTATATGCTTATTGATCCAATGTACATTGCTGTGGGAGGATTGTACACTACTTGTAAGTTGTAACCAAATTACCAAAATATATTAAAAGAAAAAAATGTAATTCTCTGTAAATGGGTGAGTTGTGAAGATTCAAGACAATACAAATATTCGACAGGTAATGATAAAGATCGGATAAAGTTTGTATAAAAATTCAACCAAACTTGGCATGTGAGTCTCTGACCAGAAGATTGTCTGGTTTACTACAGAACTGTGTTTAAACTTTAAAGATAAAGACAAAAACAATGGTAAAATTATTTATTTATTTTTGAACCCTTGGATTTTGTTGAAATTTTGGTAAAGGTACTGTGAAATTTCTGTCAAAGACGACTTCTTCTTGAGTTCGGACAAAGAATTTAATTGTCGTCTGAATCTGTGAGACACACCGACGCCGTTAAACCGTCGTCGCCCTGTCTCTCGCTCCCGTTAAACCGGCGAAGATCTGAGCTTGCCTCATTATTTACGGATCAGTATCATCCAAATCCGAAGAATTTTCGTCGTTTTGCTCAATTCGGGTACGTATTCAGAATTGCGGATCAGATTGGATTTTTGAGAAAAGGTTTTCAATTTTCCTCTTTAGGATCGGATCATGCAAATCGGAAGAATTTCCACCAGTCTTAGTTTCTTCATAATTTCATCAACTGTTGCAAGTTGCTGATTTTTGATCATATTGCTTTTGTAGATTTTGGGAACATACTGGAAAGTTAAAAACTTTAAAATTTTGTTGAGGAAAGTTTAGAGCTTGATCTCCATCTAGTATCTATACAACCATGGTGGCTCCTGTGCCTCCAGGGGCAACTAGACCCAACAACCAGCAAAACTCCGGCCCACCAAATTACTTCCCAGGGAACTCAAACGCTTTAGCTGACAATATGCAGAATCTAAACATGAATCGACCACCTCCTCCCATGATGCCTGGTTCAGGTCCTAGACCACCTCCTCCTTTTGGCCAGTCACCACAACATTTCCCTCAGCAATCCCCTTCTTATGGAGCTCCACAACGTGGTCCTTCACCAATGCCCCGGCCTGGACCTCCAGCTGGGATGGGTAGACCAGGTGGTCCTCCTCCGGTTTCACAACCAACCGGTTATCCCTCAAATGTACGACCCACTGGTCCACCGTTTGGCTCCAGACCGTCAATGCCTGGTGGGCCAGTGGCACAGCCTGCTGCAGGTCCTCCTCCAGGAGCACGCCCAATGGCATATGGTTCACCTCCACCTGTTGGATCTGGCATGTCTATGCCTCCCTCAGGCATGCTTGGTGGTCCAGTCAGTAATGGTCATCAAATGGCTGGTCCCGGAGGGTTTCCAAGGGGAAACCGGTACCCTGGTGCTGCTACGACTCCACAGGCACTGTATCAACAGCCTCCAGCACCACCTTTCGCTCGTGCTCCTCCACAGCCACCAGCAACCTTTCCTGGAGCCCCTCATGGTAGACCAGCAGTAACAGGCCTGCCTTACGGTCCACCACCAGGGCAGGTATGTCCACCTTAAGGTTTTATGGTCTATGTTCTTGCTGTGTATATTTTGTGAATCCGATGTATGGATTCACTTGATGTGTTTCCTTTGTGTGGCAGATTTCTGATGGTCTTCAAATTTGAATGTTGGTAGGTAGCTCCACCTCAAGGCTTTCCTGGTCCAATGCAACCACCAAGATATGGGATGGGTCCTCTGCCAAATCAGTCGATGACCACCATACCCTCTGCTATAGGCCAACCTGGTACCTCTGCTCCTGGGCACTCAAGGATTGATCCGAACCAAATCCCAAGGCCAGGTTCCAGCTCCAGCCCGATTGTGTTTGAAACTCGCCAGAGTAATCAGGCTAATCCTCCCCCGGTGTGTATGCCTGATCATATTTTTCGATTCGGATATTAGTCTGAGAGGTTATATCTTTTGTATGTGGGTTTTGTTGAATGAATTTTTCTCTTCTACTTTTTGAAGCCTGCTAATAGTGATTACATAGCTCGAGATACCGGAAACTGTAGTCCCCGTTTCATGAGGTGCACGATCAATCAGGTAACAATGAAGCATAAGCTTTTTTATGGTAGTATGTGTTCAGTATTTTTGTTTTCACTGTGTTCTTTGATTCTTAGTTACTTGTTACCTTTTTTTCCCCTTTTCATAACAGATCCCATGTACATCTGATCTTCTATCTACATCTGGAATGCAACTGGCATTGATGGTCCAACCCCTGGCGCTTTCTCATCCATCTGAAGAGCCTATACAAGTAAGCTTTGTCTTACAAAACTGTGGACACTTGGTTTCAAGAATCGGTTCGTGGGAGCACTTACTTATGCTATGATGCAGGTTGTGGACTTTGGTGAGGGTGGGCCTGTTCGATGTTCACGCTGCAAGGGCTACATAAATCCTTTCATGAAGTTCATTGACCAAGGAAAGAAGTTCATCTGTAACTTCTGTGGTAATGTTACTGTCTTCACTTTATGATAGCCACATTATCTGAATTTATAGCTATGCAACTACAATAGTATGTATCAAGTTAAGCTAGAGCTTAGACTAACATTTTTGTGATTTACCTTCCTGGATTGAAATGATTTCTTCTGTCAATCTGGATTTCACCTAGTTGTGGAAGATGACAATATGATTTTGTTTAAGAGACTCTCATATATTTGCTAAAGAAAGTTGATGGCAATATTACTCTGATGCTTTGTGATCCATTTCCTCATCAACTTTCTTTTGCACAGGATACACTGATGAGACTCCCCGTGACTATCACTGTAATCTGGGTCCAGATGGTAGACGTAGGGATGCTGATGAAAGACCTGAGCTGTGTAGGGGAACTGTCGAGTTTGTTGCTACAAAAGAATACATGGTTAGTTTATAAAACTTTCTTATATAAATGTAAAATTATGTGGTGTTGCTTCATAAAATGTTAGTTTTCTTTTATGCAGTCTGGAAATCTACCGTTGTATCTAACAATGTGTTGTGTCCTCTATTTTTACTTTCCCGAAAAATGAGAACCTATTTGCTGTACTGTTGATTTAGTAAACCACCACCTAAAATTCACCTTTCTACTAAGAGACTGATAACGCCATTTTGGGAGTGGATGGAAACTAATATTTGTTATATTTTCTAATAGGTACGGGATCCAATGCCAGCAGTGTACTTTTTCCTCGTTGATGTCTCAATGAATGCAATACAAACAGGTGCTACTGCTGCTGCTTGCAGTGCAATCCAGCAAGTCCTTTCAGACCTTCAGGTAAGTTTTGTTACCATTTAAAGAGTACTTTCTGCTGCATATCGTTAGGGTATTATGTTACCAATGAAATGAAATTTTTATTTTGCCTTGTCATCAGACATATAAAAAAAATCTGAATTACGTTTGCAGGAAGGTCCTAGGACATTTGTTGGAATTGCTACATTCGACTCAACAATCCACTTTTATAATTTGAAACGTGCACTGCAGCAGGTGATTTGTTGCGCTAGTCTTTTCCTTTGATGCTATGGCCTCCGAAATGGATTGTCTCTTTTTTTCCCTGGAATCTTTGAGAAGTTCAACTGATTACCACTGCCTGTGAATTTGATAATCCCTATTTATGTGCAGCCATTGATGCTCATTGTCCCTGATGTACAAGATGTTTATACACCTCTAGAAACAGATGTAGTTGTTCAACTATCTGAGGTAAGTTCTGGGCCATTTATTATCTATTTGGGTACTCCCTGATTACTTTTTCCCTTTGTTTATCAATGTGTCGTGTAAGCTGGCTGCTGTTATTGAGATTGGTTTTCCTAATTTCTTTCCTTCTTTTTGTAACTTATCATATTCTGATGGAATTCAGTGCCGTCAACACCTAGAGCTTTTGCTGGAGAGTATCCCAACGATGTTTCAGGAAACTAAGACTCCTGAATCTGCTTTTGGTGCAGCAGTTAAGGTATGGAATTGCTGAAGATGCATATGCTTTACCTGCATGTCTAATTGGTAGTAAAAGTTGGACACATTTGATGGCCTCCTCGAATTTCATGAGTTCGCCGTTTAGTAGCATTAGAGCGTTGTTAACTTAGTTTAGAGGTTTCAATCATCATTTAAGGGCGTGTAAATCTAAAAGTTAATTGAAGTGACATTTTAGGTTTATTGGCCAATGTTGCCAAATTCACATGTTAACTGGATAATATCTACTAACGTCTAACAACTCCTTCTCTCCTAGGCTGCTTTCTTGGCGATGAAGAGCAAAGGAGGGAAGCTTATGGTGTTTCAATCAGGTATGCTGCTCTCTCTATTTAGATACTTAACATATTAGTGTGTATCGATGCATGTGCTCCAATCACTTAGAATTCATATGTGAACTTTGAAAATCATAAATTTGTTGACACAATCTCGCTCCATGTAATATTGTTGGTGTAAATCAACTGTTCAGCACCTCTATAATGAAACTGACATCTTTACCATTTTCTCCACAGTTTTGTGTTCTGTTGGTGTTGGAGCACTTTCTTCAAGAGAGGCCGAAGGGAGAGCTAACACGTCTGCTGGTGAAAAGGTAAACATGCTTTTTTTTTTTCTAGGAGATTGTTGTGTTTCATTGCAAAATATTGAAGCGTCTTGTAATTTGTATTTCAGGAGGCCCATAAATTACTACAACCAGCAGACAAAACTCTAAGGACTATGGCCATTGAATTTGCTGAATACCAGGTATGCCAATACCCAATAGGACTGAAAATGTTTCCATATGCTTATACGTAATCTATAATGTAACATTTTCCTCTCAATTGCAATATTTTGTCCCCATCTAAGCCATCCAGAAATTCCTCAGGTCTGTGTAGATATATTTATCACAAGTCAGGCTTATGTTGACATGGCTTCAATATCCGTCATTCCAAGAACTACCGGAGGACAGGTATGTTTCAATATTCCTTATCCTTTCTGATTTTTTCTTGTTTTTTCAGAAGTTTAAACTCTCCGTTGTAAACGGTTTTCGACAGGTGTACTGTTATTACCCTTTCTCAGCTCTCTCAGATCCTCCCAAGCTTTACAACGATCTTAAATGGAATATAACTAGGCCACAGGGTTTTGAGGCTGTCATGCGAGTCAGATGCAGCCAGGTATATTTTTGTAGCGTAGAGTTTTCTTCATGCATTACTCTGTATACTCCAGCTTGTGAACCACCATTTCCAACAATTGTAGGGTATCCAAGTGCAAGATTACTCTGGGAATTTCTGCAAACGCATTCCAACCGACATCGATCTTCCAGCGGTGGGTGGATCCTCCTTTAACTTTTCCTACTAATTAGTTTCTGGATAGCGTCTACCTATTTCATGTCATTATTTATAAAAATATTGATTTTTGTAAGCGATCCTTTATGAAAGTTGTTGAGTCTGGAATTATGGGTAGACAAGATTCATCTGCTTTGCTGTTTAAGTTAATACAATGTTAATCAATACGAGACACATGATTCTTTTGCTAGAAGTTTACCAAGATACTTTTGAGCCTTGACAAACTTTGATTGCCAATGCAGATTGACTGTGACAAAGCTGTAATGGTAACGTTAAAGCATGATGACAAATTACAAGATGGAGCTGAATGTTCTTTCCAGGTATATTTTGTATTCATGTAGTTTTGTGAAAAACGCTGGTACTGTCTCATTTAAGATGGTGTTGATCTATGTTCGTCTTATGTTTTTCTTTTCTTTTCAGTGTGCCCTTCTGTATACTACCATAGATGGAGGGAGAAGAATTAGGGTTACCACATTATCACTCCCTTGTACGAACATGCTCAGTAATTTGTTTCGCGCTGCTGACTTAGATTCTCAATTTGCTTGTATGCTGAAACAAGGTAGGTCACTGTCCTCGGTACTGATTCCACTGCTAACCGTGTTGTGACCATGTACCAACAACTGTGTTTGTTTTCTTTTGACGCAGCGGCTAATGAAATCCCTTCAAAGGCACTTCCATTGGTAAAGGAGCAAGCAACTAATGGTTGCATCAATACACTCTATGCCTATCGTAAATTTTGTGCTACAGTTACATCGTCTGGACAACTTATTCTTCCCGAAGCGCTCAAGCTTTTGCCATTATATACCCTCGGTATTTCCTTTTGTCTTTTGTCTACTTTGTAGCTTCTTAAGATAATAGATTTGATTTCCTTAAAATGTGTTTTTTCTTCAGCATTGACCAAAAGTGTGGGTTTAAGAACGGATGGGAGAATTGATGGTCGATCATTCTGGATCAACTATGTGTCTTCCCTCTCTACTCCTATGGCAGTCCCACTTGTTTATCCCCGGATGTTTTCTGTTCACAACCTTGATGCGAAGGTATCATGGTGCTACTTTTAGTTTATATATCTTTCTCAACTCTCAAGCCTTAATTGTCAGTTTGTGAAAATTTGATTATTCTTTGTTTTCAATCTATCAGGACAGTGAAGGATCTGTCCTTCCTCCTCCAATCCCACTGTCAAGTGAACATCTTAGCAATGATGGAGTCTATTTTCTTGAGAATGGTGAAGACGGTCTACTATATGTTGGCGAATCAGTGGAGTCTGATATTCTGCAGAAACTTTTTGATGTTTCTTCAGCTGCCGAAATTCCTAGCCAGGTAATTTCAACTTCTCTCCATTACCACTTTGAAGTCGTAGGATAATTAACTTGCAACAAAAGCTAGCTTTTATACTAAACTCTGTTTCCCTTACAGTATGTGCTGCAGCAGTATGATAATCAGCTATCAAAGAAGTTCAATGATGTGGTGAATGAAATAAGGAGACAAAGATGTTCTTACCTAAGGTATCTACCAAAAATCTTCAGTATCTGTCCTTTTTTTCCCTCTCTTCTACCTGAATCTTTTCCCGTCTAATCCTTCCAACCTCTTTATGTTTTCTCTACGCAGCATAAAACTGTGCAAGAAGGGAGATCCATCAGGTGATTAATTCATGATCAAAATGACTCTGTACAAATCATGCTAAATAGGAGTTGCTTAGCATAAAATTTTAGATTTCAAGAAACATGGAATGTTTGTTGTATCATAAAACGGATGATTTGTTCTTCTGATGTTTGGTAATTTTTTTTCAGGAATGCTGTTTCTCTCATATATGGTAGAGGACAGAACAGCAGGCGGCCCGTCGTATGTTGAGTTTCTTGTTACAGTCCATCGCCAAATCCAGCTCAAAATGAACTGATCCTCTGTTTTCGAGGAGTTCTTACAAAAGTCTCTCTCAGTGTCCTCTGCGTCATGTTCAGAATTTACAGTAGAAAAGCATAGCAGAAAGGTAAAGAGCGTTCTTTGTTCATCGCCCATATTGAGCATAGACGACTTCAGCTTGAGAAGTTTCACTTCATTTTGAAGGTGTACTTAGATAAATAGTCTCCACTTTACAAAAGAGTCTTTTTGTGATCCATTTTTGTATGGTTACCTTGTGTGTGTTATATACTTATATACAAGCTCGAACTTAAGACTTTCTTTTCAGATAAAGCTTTTTGTTATTGAATACTGTCGAATGGACAAATTAAACTTCATTTATAGAATAATTGTTGCTTTTAAAACTATGGTGATGTTGATGGTTGCATGCAAGTGTAATCTTCTTCAATCTAAAATAATGTTTGAGTTCAGTGACGTCAACAAAATAAGTTTTTTATAATAATAAATTGTTAAAGGGATTGTTTTCGTATATATCTGAATTTGCTTCTTTTCATAATCACGTTTAAGATGACAAAAATATTGTTTTTCTAGATCATTACATTATTTTGTGAAGTGAAAATCGTAATATATTGTTACTTGTAAAGCTTAGAAAATATATAAATGATCGTTTTCTCGAAGGGCATCAAGCTGTTCAACATGTGCACCGTCTGCCATCACAATCGTGCTTCCTCGTTTCCCCAACTTCTTCTCTGCATCCATCAAAATTTTCCAATTTTAGCAAGAACTATTTTATACATTTTAGCTCTTAAAGTAGTTATATATGTCGAATAATTATATTATAATCTCTTCTCTAAGGTAAACGTGACAAAATGTAAAGATAAGTAGTGAAAGAGTGAAAAAACTAACCAGCTATGTCGAATAAAAGTTGGATAGAATCAGGCAAGATGATAAGTCTACCGTTGGAATCACCATTGTTGTTGTTATCTTGATTAGGAGGTTGTCCATGAATTATCACTCTTTTGGGGACTCCCTCTGTTCTTTTCTCTTCTTCTTCTGCATCAAAAATTTCCAATATGATCTACTTAACATATATAAAAAGTTAAAAACAGTATTTCCAAGTCTACAAAATAGTCTTCTTACTGTTTTCATTTTCATCTCTTGAGACAGTAACTATCTCCTCATCGTTACTTTGTGGTGTATCCTCTGTCTGAACGGTTTGCTGTCACAATAACAATGCGGTTTCATCTCAAGATCAGTTGATAATCGTAATGAGAGGATATATATGCATATGTCAAAAGAAAAACAACGCATACCTGAGCGTCTGCGTCTGCGTCAGCTAATAAATCTCTAAGGAAAGGGATTTCTTTCTTCAGCTCATCATTCAATCCCTTGAGATACTGAAAACAAAAAAAAAACACTAAATATTAGAAAATTTAATAATAAAAGCTTTGTTGATGTGATGACGTTTTGTGAAGTTAAAGGTTGATGAATTTACAGTCATAAAGTTGGTGATGATGATTTTGGCGTCATCGATATCAGACTGAATCATTTCTTTGAACTGATGATGACCGATTCGGATAACTTGTGAAAGTCGTCTTGTCCTCACAGTGAAAGGCTGAGGCATGTTGAACACTACTCCAATCTCTCCTGCCATATCTCCGGGACCTAACTTCGCCAACACCTTCATTCAACCATAGAAACCAACTCTTAATTCTGTTCAATCTTTTGATTCTAAATGTTTCTATTTTTGACTAAGTAGAGTTTTACCTGCTCACTCACACCCTTGGATGCAATGATCTCCTGTGATTTCGAATGTTTTTTTAATAAGTTGATGTAAAATGTATATAATGAGTATGTGGAGGACAAAATAAAGATCATACCACTCCTCCAGATACAAGTATGTAGAAATCCGTTGGAATCTCATTCTGCAATATTATCTCCATTTTCGGTGGAAAATACTCTGCTTTTATTTGTGAAACCTACAACAACACAAAAGATTAACTAATAACTTCTTTCGCAAGTAACAGTAAATACTGGATTAAAATTGTTGATGTATAATCACCAGTTGGACGATAAGGCCTTCGGGAAATCCTTTGAAGAGATAAGCATTCTCAATGGTGGAGCGGAATAAGTGCTCGTTGATGCTTGATCTTATGGCCTTAGGCAAGTCTTGAAGAACCTCTTCTTGCTTTAGCTCAGCGGTTTTGAACTTTAGTTGCATATGTGCAAGCATCTGCTCTCTCATCGTATCTGGTAACCTGTTCTTGCTCGTGTACCGCAATATATCATTGAACGCACTCCTCTGTCCAACAAGATCAAAGAGCTTTTGTTAAGTTATATCTATTTGGTTAAGTTTCATGGGTTTTGAACTTTTGATTACCATGGTGAACGTACGAAGAGCGCCGTGGACAACAAGATTGGTCATGTTACCGATGATGTAAGCAGTGAGGCCAATGTTGAAAAGCATGTAGAACATATTGAATGTCTTCTCATGGGTGTTGACCGCATGCAAATCGCCGTAACCAACGGTGGTGAGTGTGACGATGGACCAATACATTGAGTAAGTGTAACCTAACCATACACTTCTCTCCTTGAAATCTTCGATTTGAGACCCTATCCATGTTTCTACAGGGTTTGGGTAATGGTATGCTATCCAGAACAAAATGCAACCCGCAATGTGTATCCAAAATATTGTTACCTGGATCAAATTTATAAATCCAAGTGATTGTTAAGTTGTTTAGCTATATTGATCAAGGTCGAGATAATACAAGTTTATATAAATGGAAAGAAATGGTGGAACCTACACAAAGAAGTTTGATGACTCTGATCAAGAAGTAGTTGAAATTTGTGTCTTTCTCTAGTCTGTAACAATAAAAATACACGTACACTTTGAAATATCAGGAGTCTTTCTAGGACATAATGTATATAAATTTTGTTTAATTGTATAATATAGAGAAACCTTTTAAAGAGTTCGGATACACGACGGAGACGCCAGAGGCGGAGCAAATTAAGGAAACCGAAAGCTTGGCCGCGTCCGATATTTCCGGTGATGGTTTTGTAAATGAATTGAATCGGTAACGTTGATGCTACGTCCATAAAAAAAGACACGCTCTTCAAGTACCTGATCTTCATTTATTTTTTTATTAGCAATTAATAATTAACATTGTATTTCATTGTACTATTGAAATTAATAGATATGGTTTTTTACCGTTTGGAGATGAGCTTATGATCGTCGATGATGAGGTACGTAGACTTATCCAAGTAGGCGACGAAAAAAGTGAGGATGATATCAACGGCGAAGAAAAAGTCAACGACGAGATCAACGGTCAACAAAGATCCTTCTGCAGCTTTCTCGAAAGCTAGTTCGAAGAGAGATGCCCACGCTGAATATCCCACCAATATCACCAAAAACAATTGCCACAACCTGCCATTATTATTTTTTTTAATTAATTTACAATTTTATGACATGAATTTTATAAGTTTATATGGTCATTTAGTCGATGATTGTAAAACGTTTTTTATACCATTCGGTGATGACTAACGTTTTTAAGTATAAATGTGAAAACATGAAATGTGAGAACGGTAAAACAAAATATGAAAGGGTTTAATTTTTTTTTTATGGAGTACTAAAAAGAGTAATGGATATTACTATAAATCAAACAAAGAAAAAGAGTTATGGAAACTGTAAAATCAATCATGTTTGTAAAACCTGTAACGACGATCATAAGGAAGAACGATGAAAGATTTGGAAGAAGGATTATCGTCTTCGATGACAGTCCCAAAGGCAGGTAAGAGACTGCTCGAAACGGACGTTATGTTCCTCACATCTTTGCTCGACCTTCTTCTGAACAGTAACGATAACGGTGATCTCTCTTCCGACGTCGTCCCTACCGCCGTCGAAGACCTTCCTCTTCTCAACAACAACGGTAACGGCGATCTCGCCTCTGAAGTCGTCGTCGACATTTTTTTTTCCTTCTTCTTCTCTTTCTTTCTCGCTCAATTTCCTCCCTCCGTCTCTTTCATTTATATTAATGTTTTTGGTTTTTAAATTATACGAAGGTGGTGAGCGAGTTGTGTTGACTTTAATAATTTTGTTTTCCCTAATCATTTTTGGAAAAATATGATATTTAAATCAGTTACTAGTTACTACTGCTAAATACACTATAGCATTACCATCTAACAAAATGTTGTTTTAGAAAGTTGACTTATCGAATTATAGTGGAAATAAGGTTTGAGACCAATAGAAACTCCAAATCCTAAAGAGAAGTTGAAAATATGAATCCAAAGGAAATATCGTCAAACATATTAAAAAGATGACCCATTTTAATTTACTTCTTGTCGGGAAAGTCAAAAGATTAAGAATTTGTAATTGCCGACAAAAAAAAAAAGAGAGAGGAATTTGTAAGTTACCAAGATTGTATTGTGACTGCCTTTTAATTCTTGAAAGGTATTTTTCATAATTTGTAAGTTATCAATAACTCTTGAAAGCTATTTTTCAGAATTACAAGATTTTTGTTTTGCAGATGGATTCATCGACTTATTATGACCTCTATTTACGTCTCCTGTGTGTATTTAATGTGTCAACCGGCGTAATGAGATAATCGAGATCTACAATACAACTAGAGGATAAGGTTCTTTGCTTCTCATACGGAAATATAATTCAATGTATTGGAGTTGAACTATTGAGAATCCCAAAAGTCAAATCTTGACGTACTGTTTTTGTTTTTAATGAATTGATGATAGATCTGATAAGAATAAAAATGGTGTTGAAAACAATAAGAACAATAACAAATAAATGAATTTAATATAAACAATTGTGACGAGAGGAAAACTATATAAGTCTAAAGAATAATGTTGAAAAAAAAAAAGGTCTAAAGGATAATTTTACACTGATAAAACAAGATATACTACAAGTATGTTTTTAATACATAATCAATTAAGTTTTTAATAGTTTTTCCAAGAGTTGGATGTACGTGTATGTATGTGGTGCCAGTGGACAGTGGTCGATGGTGTATGTATTGATGCTAAAAGTTGTAAGAAGCTTTTAGGTGCATTGCATGTCGTGGTGATACGTAAAGTGTCGAATTTCACATGGAAATATAATATGCAAATGTTGAAGATGCGATTATACACTTACGGTAAAAGCAATCGAATTAGTCTCACGACCCTAAAGCTGTGATATCTCAATCGATTTCTGAAGTATATCTAGAAGTATTGTTCAAGAGATTGACCCAAGTAAGTTTGTGTAATGACAGTTAATAATATACTTGTTCAAGTAAGTTTGTGTATGTTGCCATGTTAGTTGATATGTCACACTTACTATACTTTTAAGTTTTAACTGACATAAAATGTTTTTGCACGTATAAATTAGAAAACGAACCATTATTGTATATCCATGATAAAAAGTTTGGGCCGAGATATGGGCTGATTCTCTAGATCCAAAAATTATTGGATCCGAGCCGGGTTTCTAAAACCAGCGGGTATGGGTATTATCGGAGGTCATGACTCATCATCGTCGTGTTTAATTTTCCCCGGAAATTGCAATTGGTGGATTTTGCGATTCGACCCGAAGGGAATTGGCCGGTAAATTGGGAGGAGATTTATAGCACTTGTAGTTTAGGAAGCCCTAGTCCTCTGTTTCACCATTATCATCATTCATCACCATTCTTCTTCTTCACCTTGGTCAATTCGCCGCCGTCTTCTGCTCATCCATATATCCGCATCTTTTTAGAGTTTAGAATTTCTCCCTTTAGTTGCAGGCAAATTGGCATTAGAAATCTCCCTCGGTGATCGATTCTCCTCGTCGGTGATGATAGAGAACGGATTGGAGACGATGGATAAGGAACGAATCAGAAAACGTCCTCGTATGACATGGGACGAGGCACCAGCTGAGCCAGATGTTAGTCTTCTTCCTTTTATTCAATCTCACGCTTGAAAATTCCAATGTGGAGAGAAGTCCAAACATCTCTCTTTTTCCCCTCTTTGTGTAGGCTAAAAGGGCCCTGAATAGAGGACATGGAAGCGATGGGAAGGTTTTGTCACCACCATTAAGGGAGGATGATCGCGACGGTCATTACGTTTTCAGCATAAGGGAGAATCTCACTCCTAGATGTGAGTTTATAGAATCAATGATTTGCTGATTTTGCCTCTAAATTTGTTGCGCATTGTTGCTACTACTCCTCGCTCGCAGCATTGAGCATGCGTTTGATCTCGTGTGTTTGACAGATAAAATACTAAGCAAGATGGGTGAAGGTTAGCTGTCAAGTGGCATGGTGTGTTCGAGATAAAAAAAAAACTGTTTTTGTGAATCAAAACGCGCCATTTCAGTGACATTGCTGGTGTTGTAGGCACATTTGGCCGGGTTTTGGAATGTTGGGATCGTCAAACGAAAGAGTATGTGGCGATAAAGATAATCCGAAGCATTAAGAAATACCGGGAGGCAGCAATGATTGAAATTGATGTGCTTCAAAGACTTGTTAAGAGTGATAAAGGCCGCACACGGTATTTTGTTTTTCTTCTAAGATTGTTAGCTTATGGCAATAGTGGCGTTGCTCAGTTTCTTCATCTCTGCTTTGTCCTTGCAGCTGTGTACAGATGAAGGACTGGTTTGATTACCGGAATCATATTTGCATCGTAAGTATTCTCCGCCGTTGAAATGCATCTTACTGATTCTATGTTCAGGGACCTGTTATTGTTAGAACTTAGAAGTGAATGACTCGTAGTCTCTCTGACTAGCCTTTTTTTTGTTTGATTGCTAAATAATAGATATCCAGTTTCATGTATAGTGTTTGTGTAGTTAATCGCTGTAGATTTTGTTGATGAAGTATGGATACGAAACAGAACCTTCCTTTGAATGAATGCTAATGGTGTTACCAGGTGTTCGAGAAGCTTGGACCAAGTTTGTTTGACTTTCTAAAGAGAAATAAATACTCCGCATTTCCTCTGGCCCTTGTTCGGGATTTTGGATGCCAGCTTTTGGAATCTGTAGCATGTCTGTGAATTGTTCCTTTCGGCTATATTTTTATCTACCATGTCATCGTTACCGTTTCCTCTCTGTCGCTGTACATTAGTTGTTGTTCCTTTTTAATGCCTCTCTATTCTTAATATCTTTTGTTTTCTTATCTACAGACATGCATGATTTACAGTTAGTTCACACTGACCTCAAGCCTGAGAACATTCTTTTGGTTTCCTCTGAAACTGTAAAGCTGCCTGACAATAAGGTATATAGAAATGAATTAGGTTAACGCTGGGCTTGGGTATAGCTACTAGCTAGTGTTGAAAAGTTTGCACTTTTGACAGTTTGATGTTTATTTTTTTAAAAACAGAGGAGTACTTCATATGAGACACACTTCCGGTGCTTACCAAAGTCAAGCGCCATTAAACTGATTGATTTTGGCAGTACTGTTTGTGATAACCGGATTCATCACTCCGTTGTCCAAACAAGGCACTACAGGTCTCCCGAGGTCATTTTAGGTACGTAACTTCAGCTATGTGTTGCCCGAGACATGCTTGTGGATTCCTGATTCCATAGCTGACATTAACACGTGGCGTATCATTGCAGGTCTAGGGTGGAGTTACCAGTGTGACTTATGGAGTGTAGGTTGTATACTTTTTGAACTATGCACGGTAAAGTCTCTCTCATCTTGTTGTATAAATTCTTATCTCTGTGTTTTTTAAGGTGTTTTGCTTACAATAGTCAACATTTTTAAACTGTACATCAGGGTGAGGCTCTCTTTCAGACGCATGATAACCTGGAACATCTAGCTATGATGGAGAGGGCATTGGGACCTTTACCAGAACATATGACCCGAAAAGCCTGGTTTCTTCTTTTTTTCCCCACACATTTTTGGGTACAAGAAACTTCACAGAGATATGATGAATGCTGATTGAATTATTGTCTACTGTTTATATGTTTTTGCAGCCGGGGTGCTGAGAAATATTTCAGGAGAGGGGGATGTAGGCTGAATTGGCCTGAAGGAGCCGATTCAAGAGAGAGTATTAGGGCTGTGAAAAGACTTGATCGTCTCAAGGTTAAGCTCTATTAACTCATCTTTGTGACTAATGATGTATCTATCTTTTGTTAGGGTACAGTAATCTGACTTAGAAAATGCTCACAAACCTTGCAGGATATGGTAGCGAAGCACGTAGACAACTCCAGATCTGGATTTGCTGATCTGTTGTATTGTTTACTGAGATATAATCCGTCCGAGCGACTCACAGCAAACGAAGCTCTTGAGCATCCTTTCTTTAAGAGCTCAAGTTGAGAAGAAGCAAAAAACAGCAATCATTTGATGGTGCTCATTGCTATTTAGGCACACTTGCTTCATCTGTTTTTGTTAGATTATATATCTCCCCTGTTTCATTAGCACCAAACAATGAGTATTCCAGTTTCAAGTTTGAATAAACCTCTGTAATTACATTGTGTTGTTGAGATTATAAAATAGTCAGACCACAGTTTGAAACCAATCGACCTTATAAATTGCGTCTACACAATATACAGCATCCATTTATACGAGCAAAACAAAACGGACCAAGAAACTGATTAATTCACTTAATGTTCCATTCATTAAAATATATCGTCAAAAAAGTTTTTCAGACGATCCTCATGTTTCTGTTGTAAGTTGTAACACGCAAAACCAAAGTGAGTTTTTAACCTGATCGTCGCTAAAGATGACATTTAACAAAATTCAAGAGACTTAAGTCGAAAATAGAAAATGTATATGCAACAATTGTCCTGAGCTTGATCACTCGAGATCTTCAGTGAAATCAGTCACTCTGTCTCCCACCAGATAGCGATCATCGTATTCAACGCGGTGAATATAAACGAAGAGGTCGATGGTGAGCTTGGCTACGAACCCTAAGATGATGATGGCTAATAACACCGGCCATATGAGCCTCTGCACCGCCAAGTTGACCGCACCTGAAAATCCCAGCGATGGGAACAGAGAGTAGGTCACCAAGAAAGGTAAAACGAGAGTGGCAAGAAGAGTGCGTATGATCGAATAAACGACATCTCGAAGCAGCCACATTGAGGGAAGCCTGTTGATTCCGACGTTTCTGATTCTCTCGGGCTTCTCCCGCCACGCCACAGTTGCGAAATACTTGATACGCGTGAACATAGTCTGTGAGAAAAGAAAGAGGATCCAGATGTTACTTGTTGCGCAAGAAAGCAACTTATTGGTTAAAGAAAAACTCGAGACGAAAAGTTTCTTACCAGGTAGGTCCAGATGTGAAAGAGGACTGAACTGATCAACCAAACTTGGAGAGATGAATAAACCGGGGACTGGTTTAGCGGCACTTGTAATGGGATGATGATCATAAGGATGATAAGGAGACCAATCAATGATGGTATGACAGAGATCTGTTCACCGGATTTTGCAAGTTACACAGATATTTCTGCAGTGTTATTTAATAGAGTTTGTATAAAGGGAACATGAAGTTTTGAGTTTGCTTACCCAGATGGTGAACAGTAAAGCATTCCGTATCCACAACAGAACAAGGCTGAGAAGCACATCGATTCTTCCAGTCATGATATGGTCAGTGATGAAGCAAGTCGTGATATAAACTTCTCGCAGGATATAGCATCCAATCCAGAAACCATAAAGATCTAAAAATGACAGATTTATAAACAGAGACGCTTTATCATTAGAAGCATAACAAGAAGAGTTATGAAGCAAGATGATGAGAGTTACAAACCGTCTTGTTTGAGCCCGATGAAAGAGATAGAGTGGAAGAAGGCCCTCCCAATCAGAATTGGCAAAGCCATGGAGATTGTACTCATGAGAAACAGGCTCAGAGTAGCTAGAACACACATCAGTCCGATCCTCAGTGTCATAAACCTGGAAACTTCAACTTATCAGAATTCTAAATATTAAACATGAATGTCTTAATGAAAAACCTCGCTATGATCTGTTACCTATCGTCTTCAATATCGTCTTCAAAGGTGGTATCACTGTGAGATCCATATAATCCGACTAGAGAGCTTTCAACTTGTAAATCACGGATCTCCAGATCTTGTTGCAACAAGGGTCTTACATTCTGATCCTCATGGTTTCCGAGCAAGAACTCGCTCAACTGGAGCCAAGAACTGACAGTGGTAATCCACTTGACAACTATAGGTTCTATAGCTGGTTTGATTAGCTCAACTAACCATTGGGGAGCTCCTATTATCCATAAGATCTTGTAAGCTGCCATTGAGCCAAACAAAATCCTTTCGTCATAGATCCTGCATCATTTACAAGTTTTTGTTAGCATGTAACTAGAAATGATACAAGGAGGTAAATGGCACATAGGAGCTAGCATACCAGAGTTGGAGGGGAAAAAACGAGGGGCTTATGAGAGAGATTGTCATTATTGGTAAGTGAACCAAAATCACCATCAATGAGCCGTGGAGAGCCAACCCAAATAGGATTTGGCCAAGGTACAGTTTAGTGAGCCTGTAGTTGAAATCACTATCATATAGTAGAAACCAAAAGGGTCGTTTGAGAATGATCTGACAAAAGATGTAAAATCTAATCAAAATAAGGTCATTTCCGGATAAGAAAAATGGTTTAAAGAAAACAAAACTCTTACCTTGTGGATAAGCTCCACGGAATTGAAAACCAATAGCAAGCAAATAAGTCCCAAAAGCCAATGTATGATCATGGCGAAGGGAAATTCTGAAATAATCTCAAGCCTCCGTGAAACTGTGGTTCCTAGTATAGGGAAGGTGGAGAGATCTAACCAGCAGCCCAATACCAAAGGATAAACACCAAATTTCAAACACAAGACGAAACCATCCTTAACCACAGACAGATTTCTCCATACTTTGACTGAAGTTATCCACAACAAGTATGGGAGTGCCACTGCTACGACGAGAAATCCCAGTGATAATCTCTTGGCTAAGGCTTGAATGGAGTCTCGACTCAGAGTAACAAAACTTGCAAGATAAGCCAAGGAAAGTGAGATCATAGCCATATATCCAACAATGACAGGTTCTTGACCAAGTAAGTCTCCAGAAAGAAGCTGCACAGATACATCCATACGTTGGAAAAGAGATAGGACTGCAAAGACTAGTTTCCCCATAGAAAATGGAAGAAGAACGAAGAAGAATGAGACGTAAAAGCTGATGGCAAGAACCTGAAGAGATAAAAACAGAAATTGTTAACATGATAGTAAAACATTTTCTAAATCTGTATGAATCACAAACGAGAAATGGGACTCACAGCAAATGTATTGTCATCAAGAAGGAATAGAAACCTCCTGATAGCTCCAAATTCATCAAGTTTTGCGTTTCGAGGACGAACTGCTTCTTCACGAGGTTCAAACATGAGGGCGAGGAAGAATCTACAGCGGATGAGGTGATTATGCCACCAATCACACAGAATCCGCATGTATTTCCACAATGCGACTGCAGCTCCAGCAACAACAACTCCATGTTCTATGTAATTCTCCCCAACTATCTCAAGGAGATGTCCAACAGGAATCCTTAGAAGCACCATCAGTGTCATATGATAAGCAATCATACCGTTGTACATGGATCCAGCCAAGAAAGCAGCCAACTTCTCGGAAACTCCATAGCGTCTCTGGTTTTCAATCGCGGTTTCTCGGCCCCAAGGATGCAGGGAGAAGCAATAGGCGTTGAAGAGAATCGCAAAAGCCCAGGCAACGAAACGTAGTGCTCTCAGTGACACTCCTCTCAGAAACTCACGGCATGGAAGCCTCGCTGGTGCGTTCTCCGAATAGACGGGGACAAACGAGTAGCTATGCCTACAAACCTGCGTTGGTGGAGGAAGACGGAGATTTCATGTATTGTGCACTGAGAAATCGAAATCGAAATCGAAATGCAGAGGAAATGGCATTGAACAGTAAACCCAAAGCAGAAACGAAGCTGAGAAAGAGAGAGAAAGAGAAAGAGGGGAACCTCGCACTGCTTGTCACTGCGGCGGTTGAGCCAGAGACGGAGACATTCCTGGTGAACATACTTGATGGAGCCTCGACACGCACACGGATACCTCAACGGATTGTTTAGTCCCTCCGGCGATCGGCAAATCCGGCACAAATCTCCTCCGTCGTCGTCGTCTTTGTCAGTTTCTTCAGCCGGAAGAGCTTGGTCATAGCCATCGACTTGGTTCTCCGCCGGAAAAACGTCCATTTTCGGAAATCGGAAGCTTTGCTCCCCCTCTCTCTCTCTCTAATTTCGCTCTCTTTACTCGCTCGTCTTCACTCTCTGGTGTGTTCATCACTTTGAAATGCTAAAAGAGAAGCAAAATATATTTAAAATTCAAAAAAGAAAACTAAAAAGATAGCAGGTGGCGTTTTAACGATCCGTACAGTTGAAGTTTGTTATTTTGACAGCCTAGAGCCCAGAGAAACAGAAAGTTAAACTGTAATTGGCCGTTCGTTTACTGGGACCCACTACAATTGGGCTGCGTCTCGACCAATTGAAATTTATTTGCTTTTCCTTTCAATAGTCCTTTTGCTACCCATTAAAGCTAAGTATGCGTTACAGTGGCCTGCAGCGGCTATGTGTTACAGTGGCTAACTATCTTCTAGTGATCCCTAAAGAAAATCAAATTTTGTTTCAGTAGAATGGCTAACGATCTTTTAGTGAAGCTGTATAGCAAACGGCTAACAAAATTCACATTTCTTTTAACTTTTCGAAACTAGTAACCTTCCAAATGAAACTCTGGTTCTGCAAAACTTAAAACAAACTTACCATTTTTTTATCAGCCAACAAACAGAGTTAACAAGGCTTTAATGAACGTTCATAGTCGTACAAAAATGAAGAAAAAGAAACAGCACCAATAAAAATTGATATCGTCGTGCAAGTGAAGCAACTATTTCTGGGACTAAGTATAATTTATTATGAATACAAGACCAGAAACGATAATAAAAATCTACAGAACACAAACCTATTTGAGGAAAACGAAGAGAAGACGACCTAAGCAAAGATGCTTTGTGTGCACAAGAGGCCACATATGAGAATCACAGCATACAAGCTAAAATCCATTGAAATCGCATCCATTATCTTCTTCACCATCATGATCGTCTCCAACGCATTACCAACTTGGTCTGCTATCCCCTGCCCGTTCATCACCGTTCCCGAGTTTTCTCTTCTTGAAGCTGAGGAAGGATCTCCACGATGGCTCAGCAGAACACGTCCAAACACAATCGTTGCATCGGTCAAGAGAAGCAAGAAAACAGGCCTGAAGCTCACCACGTTGCCCATGGAAGAGAATCCGAGCTGAGATAGTATGACAAGAAGTGCAATCACAAGAGCTGCGAACATCCTTGCGTATACCGAACCATCGATGGCGGTTCCAATGTGATTTGGAGTGATGGCGTTCACATAGCTGACCAAAGGAGTAAAAGCTTGAGAAGCTCCCAGGTCTACCACTGATGTGGGTTGTGCGCTTGATACTGCATGAGACGGTTGTAGTGTTGTCTCTCTAGCATCTGAAACGGAGTCCTCTGCCATTGTTTCAGTATACTTCCGAGGTTGAAGCGATTCTCCTCTGCTTTGATGGATGATTTGATCCATGCTATCAAGCATCGAAGCATCAAGTTTGTCTTCCTGCTGACTTGTAAAACCTGAAATTTCAAAACCACTGCATTACTCCATGATACTTGTATACATGAATTTCACTCGATAACTAACCAAACACATAAAAATCTGATCAAGGAAGTAATTTTGTGTACTCGATTTGCTTCTATCCAATACAGTAACACAAGTTCGATTTGAAACAAATTAAATGGCTAGACTTAGATTCTCACCACCTACACTTCTCTTAACGCAATTGCAAACAATAAAGGGAATCGAAATTCGGCACGAACAATTCAAGGGAAATAATAAACCATAGAGAGAGAGAGAGAGAAAGAGCACCGGTTTCTCGATCAGTAAGAATATGATCACGAGAGGGGATTGTTTCTGGAGAGGATTCGTCGGCGAGGAGATGAGATTGGGAAAGGGAAGTGGAATCAGAAGGTGGAGGAGGAAGAGGAACGCCGTTGATCTGACCGGTGATAAAGGCCAAACGATCAGATCCTCTTTCTAGGATCTTCCGTCTCCTGGCTTCTCTGCTGTTCGACGCCATTGCAAACGAAATTTTCTTTCTCGTCTTCGGGGAGAAGATAGAAAGGAAACCAGTTCTCGACGGAGGAGAGATGAGAGAGAGACGCCGTGATATATTTTGTTTAGCTCGGTCGTATTAAAACGCCAATTCGAAATCGCGTCTTCCCAAAACGCAATACATGAATAAAGAATTTGCCGCGTTTATAGTAATGGGCTTAGAGGCCCAATTGAAGTGAATAGTGTTGACACAAGAAGAATTTATTCTTTAACACATTTGCACCAAAAGCGCGACCAATAGAAACAAGATCGTTGCCTCCACGCGACCACTACGAGAGAGACCATTTTAAAATTCAGTGAGTCGCCCACCGTTTTTCATCAGAGAGAGAGAGAGAGAGATGCAATCGCTGCAGGAGAAAGCATCTGTATTGAGCGGCGTGGATCAGGCTGACGCGTCCGCCATCAACGACTCCAATCTGTTCGAGAAACTCGGTCTTCAGAGCTTCATCAACCTCTCCACCAATTTCTACACCAGGTTTCTAATTTTTTTTTTTTGGGTCGCTGAGCTCGAGTTTGAGTTTTTATAATCTGGATTTCGGTATATAGTAGTTGAAAGTTGAAACTGTAAATTCTTAACATTTGTATGAATGAATAGTCCACTCTCTGCTTGTTCAATTGAGAAATTGGGATACTTTTTTGGATTTATGGCTTGGAAATAAATGCAGGATTTTTGACAAGTAGTAGAGATCTGTTTAAGTTTTATTGGTAATGCTTCTTCTTCTACTTATGGGGAAGTCTTGATTTTGAAATGGAGAGTAGGGTATATGATGACGAGGAAGAATGGTTTCGAGCCATATTTTCCAGCTCAAAGAAAGAAGATGCCATCCAGAACCAGTATGAGTTCTTCGTCCAGCGTATGGGAGGGCCTCCTCTCTATTCTCAAAGGAAAGGTTTGTTTTTTCTTCTTCTTCTTCTTCTCCCTCCCTCCCTTACTCTATGTGTTTTGAGTTTTGACATAAATGTGTGAGATTCGTTCTACCTTTTGTAGGCCATCCTGCTTTGATCGGTCGTCACCGTCCATTTCCAGTGACCCATGAGGCTGCTGAGAGATGGCTGCAACACATGCAACATGCTCTTGACGATTCGCTTGACATTGACCAGGATTCTAAACTCAAAATGATGAATTTCTTCAGGTACATACCATAATCTTCTTCTTCTCATAGTCAATGTTCTGTAATCCAGCGATTTCTAAATCAAATGGATGCGAAGTTTCACTGGATGCCTTTGAAATTTGGCAGATATATTTAATTCTGTTGCTTTAATTTTGATCTGTTTCAGGCACACAGCGTTCTTCCTTGTGGCTGGAAACGATTTGAAGAATCAGAACCAGAACCAAGACAAACATGTTGGGTGTGTTGCGTGTAAACACGGTGCCAAAAAACCAGCTGAGGAATAAATTAACAAGAGAGATTCTTGTTTTATTTTTACCCTCATAGAACTGGTCTTGGCTCTCATTGCAATAGCACTCTTCGTTAGACGGTGCCTGAAACACATTTTAAGATACGAATGTGGTACATTTCATGTTTTAAAAATGCGGTACAATAATACTCTCTGTCTCTCTCTATGTTTGAAGATTGAGAACTAATATGGTACGGCTGTTGCTCCATAAATCACATTACACAAATATCATTTTATCTGATGTAAACTCTGAAGCTAATAGTTTGTTTTTGAAATCACTACCTAAGATTCATGTAAAATTTTGTTCCATGAGTTTTAAACTTGGCAAATAACAAAACAATCAGTTTAGTCAAACATATTTTTTGGTTGACATTTTTATAAAAATTCTTCTTTTGAGTTCACTACAAACATGTTTATCAACAAGATGATGAAGTTTAACGGAAATTTCTCACAATTTCTTAAGATACGGTGGTGCTCTGTTGAGGCGCGGGACAAAAATTAATTTAATACACCAAAAAAGGCAAAAACTTTTTTTGGTTCAAAATTGAAACTACAAGCGTCAACAAAAAAAAAAAAAAAAACAAATTTGAATTTTTTTGAGGAAGAATATAATACACAGAAGACCTCTCTGCTCTGTATAGAAGGAAAATCAAATTTCAAAAGCTACGGATTCTATTTCTTCATCGGCCTTGCATTTGAGCGCTCGCTCCTCACTCCTTCTGCGCAGAAATCGCCGACTAGGGTTTTTGTTTCTCCAGATCTCCGGCGGTTGTTCTTCTCCCACCGCCCATGGACTCAGATTCCTCTAGGTCGCGAATTGATCAGGTCAGTTACGCTCTCTCTCTCTCTCTATTCTTTGATTCAGTTATCTACGTGAACTGTAGACGTATGTCGATGTTGTAGTTCTTCTTCCTCTCTTCCTCATTTTCATTGTGTGCAAATTCGCGCTTGCTGCAACATCTTAAAGTTACTCACTAATTCGAGAACTTGTGTTTGAATCCTGACCTATACCGATTCAAATGGATGAACTTTGTAGAGTCTTCGATTCATTTGATTGTTTGAGAAGACGTATAAACCTGAATTGAATCACTTTTTGGCATAATTTGACTTTTTTCACTCGGACAGTGACAAACTCAAATATATAAAAAAAAAACTCGAATTTACAGGCGGAATTTGTTTAATTGTTTTTTCCATGAATGAAGTTTTGAACTTTGTTAAGGATTTTCCAAAAAGAATTGCTTTTGGATGCTTCTAAAAACCTTTTTCTTCAGTGAAATTAGTTACGATGGGCGAAAAGAGGGAGTTTTGTGATGTTGAAGCTAGAGTGTGTAGCTTACTGACTGATTTTTCTTTATGTTGCATGTCACTGTTCTACTAGTTTTATGTTTCGAAGAAGAGGAAACACCCGTCACCAAATTTGAAGTCTGGGAGAAATGAGAAAAATGTGAAGGTGACAGGAGAAAGGTCTCCTGGAGAAAAAGGCACTTTGGACATTTACTTGAAACCCTCTCCTAGTGACAAGAACGCTACCAATAGTGGGTTGCAGGCAAGGCAGAAAGCGTTTACAAAGAAATTGGATTTGGAGGTTTCTGGCCCTTCTGCTAGATTAAGTGCTGAAACTTCTAAAGGAGTTGAAAGGTGTTTGAACCAGAGCGGGTCTCAATTTTTTGATAAAGAAGGTGTTGCTACAGCTGAAACTCATGCTACAGATGGTTTCCTCTGTTCTAACGAGAAAGATAATTCAGAACTAAGAGACTTTGCCACTGGTTTCTTGTCCTTGTATTGTAGGTAATGTGCTTTGACTGTGATGGTTATTATTCTTTCCATTATCATAAAGGAGTTAGTTGGTGAAACATCCGTTCTTTTAGCATGCCTGAGTAATCAATTGATCTGTATGCAGTCAAGTGCAGTCTGTTGCTGGCTTACCTCCACCTCAGAAGGCAACCGAACTGAAGCGTCCAAGCAGTTCATCATTACTTGGTCAAGATATACAAATTTCTCACAAAAGGCGTTGTGATTCCGAACATATACCATCATTTGATGATCTTACACATCCTCTCGGGAGTAAGCCTGAATCACTGGCTTATATTGCTGATAAAAGAGAGACATTCGTTTCAGACCCTACAAAGAAGGTATAACTGGAATCAACAGTCATGGTTACTTGTCTCCTGCTAAACTGATTCATTTCAAATTATTTGATGCCTTTGCTCTAATATATTCACAGATTCCGAGCAATGAGTTTGTTCAAATTCCAATGGGCTTGAGGAGGTGTTCTAAGGCACCAGAATCATCGGCTCATCTAAATGAATGCAAGACGCCTGGATCAGCTGTTAAATCATGTCCTGTTGGAACCCCTAAGTCAGGAAGTGGTAGCTCAATGTTCTCACCTGGAGAGGCTTTCTGGAATGAAGCGATTCAGATAGCTGATGGTTTGGCAGTTCCAACTGAGAACTCTGGTTCGATAGAAGCTAAAGATGGAGGTCAACATAGAACTATACATTCATGCAACACCAAAACAGATAACTGCAGTGACAAGTTAAAGACAAGTTTAGATTTAGAAGAAAGCAGAGTTAAGGATAAAAATGTCACTGGTTATTCAAAGTTCGTGGAGAAGCATGGTAGGGATTTTAGCAAAGAAGTATCTCCGCTCCCTGTCAAGAATCTGGAACTTTTGTTTCGAGATAAAAAAACAAACGGCGGTACCCAAGAGCTTGATCAGAACAACATTACTCGAGGAAGCAGTGGGATATCTGAATCTGATTTTGTTGATAATAAAGTATCTGAAGCTCTTGATATTGCAAATAATGCTCAGGCAAATAAAAGTTTGATAGACAGGATATATCCAGAGCCTGAAGGAAAGAAAGTTCTATTGTGCGAGGATAATCATATTGGAAGATCTGTTTCTATGATAAGCAGCATGAGGAAACCTGCTGATTCTAGTGAATCTGAAGAAAGTCATACTCCTTCAAGCTCTCGTACTATTAAAGATGGTTTAAGTCTTAGCACTTGGCTTCCCTCAGAAGTTTGCAGCATATACAATAAGAAAGGAATATCTAAACTCTATCCATGGCAGGTATGTATCTGTTTGTTGATGTGTGTGCTATCATTTGTCAACTATTTAGAACATATGGGTGATCAATTTTTTCTTTGTTCCCACTCCTATAGATAGATAGACGTGTATTTGCTTCTCTAATGCATTTTAGAAAGTGTAAGACCAGTTGAGAGCTTGCAGCTAGTAGTTTCCTTCCAAAGTTAATCTGCTCTTCATGCATCGTTCCTTTCATAGCATGTACCATATCATTTATGCAGTGGTTGTACTTGCGATATATGTTTGTTATCTTCTTTCTTTATATATATGTTTCATGAGTTTGCACAAAACTGATTGGCGTGTATGCTATTGCTGAATACAAATTGTTATAAAATTTTCTAGGTTGAGTGCCTTCAGGTAGATGGTGTTTTGCAGAAAAGGAATCTGGTATATTGTGCTTCTACAAGGTATTTCCTTCTTTTCATACATTTTATTCGGATCACTAGTAAGCTTTTGTCTGACAATAACTTATGCTCATTTTCAATACCATACTGTTGGTGCAGTGCTGGTAAAAGTTTTGTTGCAGAAGTCTTGATGCTGCGCCGGATCATAACAATTGGAAAAATGGCAATTCTCGTGCTACCTTATGTATCCATCTGCGCTGAGAAGGTTTCTTTTGTTATTCTCTCCAAGCATCCTTCACGTTTTGTGATATTATTTTCTCTTAGTTTAATCGTATTACAATTGGTGCAGGCGGAACACCTTGAGGTTCTTCTTGAACCACTTGGTAAGCATGTTCGTAGTTACTATGGAATCCAGGGTGGTGGAACACTTCCTAAAGGCACTGCTGTGGCTGTCTGCACGATTGAGAAGGCAAACTCTTTGATAAATCGCTTGCTTGAAGAGGGTCGTTTGTCCGAACTTGGGATAATTGTTATCGATGAACTACACATGGTATGGTTTTCACTTATTCGTCTGTATGGATCTCGGATAAGCTTATAACTGGCTGACACTATCTTTTTTTTGTCGTGCTCTTATCTTTGCATATTTAATAGTAAATGCATTAAATGGAACCTATTGCTCATGGTTTATACAGGTGGGTGACCAACATAGGGGTTATCTTCTAGAACTTATGCTGACAAAACTTCGTTATGCTGCCGGTGAAGGCAGTTCAGAATCTAGTAGTGGTGAGAGTTCAGGGAATAGCAGTGGCAAGGCTGATCCTGCTCATGGCCTACAAATTGTGGGTATGAGTGCTACAATGCCGAATGTTGGAGCAGTTGCTGACTGGCTTCAAGTAAGACACACAGAATCACAATCTGATATACATTTTTGTTATTTTTCTGCCCTCACTCAGTTTCATGAGACTTCTCTTTAGAATTATAGGTTTTCATAGATAAATGTGCTGACCTGCATGTCCGGGGGAATTAAAGAATATGATATTTATGAAATTGCACAGAATATGATAACATTACGTTTTCTGTAAAATGAAGACCTGTATATCTCCAGATATCTTAAATGGGTGATCATTAGTTGTTACTTTGGGAGCTATTGTTGTCACCTTTATTGAAACTCTTTAAAATTTATTGTGGCCTTTTTTTTATCAGAAAGCTTATTTTTGTTTTACATGTTCAAAGGCAGCATTATATCAGACAGAGTTTCGACCAGTTCCGCTAGAGGAGTACGTTAAAGTTGGTAACACCATTTATAATAAAAAGATGGAAGTTGTGAGGACTATACCAAAAGCTGCTGATATGGGAGGAAAAGACCCAGACCATATCATTGAGCTTTGTAACGAGGTAATGGATTTTTCTTTCCGTAAATTTCTGATCAAACATGTACTCAAATTTGGTTCAAGAGGAAAACTCAGATGTAATATCATGATCCAGATTGTTCAAGAGGGTAATTCAGTGCTGATATTTTGCTCAAGTCGAAAAGGATGCGAATCAACTGCTAGGCATATTTCAAAG